TTAATCTGATACATTATTTGTCTGTTTGAAAGCTACATTATTTTAGAGTAAGTACCTTAGATTCCGATCGGTTCCTCGGCCAATTGAAACGGGGTACGAAATTACAACGGCCTGAACCGAGGTTCGAACCCCCAGTGATGCCTTCAGACTCAAGTAGTATCCGTCAGGCAGGAGTTGGCCTTCAGCCGCTCCATAAGTCCTTCCTCGAGTTTAGAATGCCATCTGCAATCGCCCTGTACCGTTCGGTGAAAAGGCCAGCTGCGGCCAACAGCATTAGAATAGTTCGGAAGTAAAAGGTACCATAGGCTATATATTATGTTAACATATAATAAGAAAACAAACCATACCAGTACAATACGAACAATATATCAAGAATACAAATGTTTATACCGTGCAGGAAGTCGAACGTGCGATCATCGGAGGTAGTGCTAAACTGCTAGACTGCCAAGGCCGCCAATACAATACTTACAACGTTATGAGCACCCAGGCGAAGCAATGACGAGCTACTATTGTCAGTATATAATCAGTCACGTTGGTGAAGTTTTCTATTGCTGCATAATATTCACAATTTCGTTATGTAGTATAGGTGAAAGGTCAATTAAACATACGCGATTACTCCCACATCTAGAGATTGTGGAATATTTCTCCGAACAGACACAATGTTCATAATTTTTAATGTGTCGATACATAACAAGGTCACCTTAATAAAAGTATATTTAAACCATTAGGGATATCACTTGCCTGTAATGAACTAATATAAATAGTATATTGTATTAGAATTGATAAGCGAACTTCCAGAACGTGCCCTTGAAATGTATTTATAACTTCAATTTTGTACCGTATAATGAATGTATTCACTGCTATGATGGTTGTAGACTAGGGGGGCTGTAGAGGCGCGGGCGGAGTCGATGACCGAGTATTGATCCTGGCGAAGTGGGTCGTGACCCGTTTCCAGTTGCAATACGCCCACAGGGCTGCACATGCCGTTTTCGAACTCAACCAAAATATAAAAGCACCGTCAAATTGCACCAAACTGAGTTCTATATTGCGTTCGTTTTTCAAATATGTAGGTACCGCAGTATCTAATCTCATCTATTTAATAAACCTCGTTCCCAATTCATGAACTTTATCATTTTAGTGACAGGTTTATTTACTTGTGAATTATGGAGAATCAACAGTTGTCATATTTATTTATATTTATTTATTAGAATTCCTCGATATAAGTTCATTGTTGAAGTTTCATATTATAACTGTAATGTACTGCTCTCACCATGGATTACATTAAATGTCAAGGCGGAGTCTTTTCAATATACAGAAACAGAGGACAAAATGGCTATTATTTCTGTTCTTGCGTTACCTTAAAATAGGCACCAAATGCTTGATTTGACTAAATATTAGTCACGTCAATTCCGTGGGCCACCGTACCAGTACGGAGTTAATATTAGAGACTATTTACTTGCAAATTTACTCGCAAAGCTTTCATCAATTGTGCAATAAAAGGGACATTATGATTTGGGACATTGATAGAGGAATTTTATTGCTCTCGCAATTATGTTTTTGCTTTCCAACAAACGTTGTAAAGGGAAAATTGTTTATTAGGTCGAGTGTCTAATATAGAGAGTATATTTCACAGCGGCTTCACTTTATGAATAGGTTGCTGGGTCCTACGCAGGTAAAACAAAGCATTGCGATCGGTTCACCGCGTGGGTTGGCTCGTATTGTGTGAAAGTTGATTCGTGTCTGACACTCCCCTCCATGAAAGGCATAAACAGTACATTCACTTTTCACTGCCTATATAAAGTATCTAAATATCTCACTTTCTAGGTTTCAACTTAATGCCGTGCGCGGGAAAACTAACCGTTAACTACTAGCTGCAATTTATTGTTATCTTTGTAAGCCAATAGAAAATAGAATTCAATATAGAAACGTTTAAATTTACACCCTTCTATGTAGGTTTGAAGGTTAATTCAGCTTTGTTACAAGGAAATACTACTTACCATTGTATAAATAGCGTGTAGATTATATTATCTAGGTCTGTTAGATAAATGAAATCAAAATTCTGCATAAAATGATAAGATATCATCGTCTAGTTCCATGAGTCGTTCTTGTTGCCATGCATTGGTGTAAAACACAAAAAATTCCAGTGCCGTATAAAGTCAAAGAAAACCCTAAGCAAGGAATAAGATAAGAAATGTGGTGAAAATATCGAAGACGAAACCAGGAAAACAAATAATAAACACACGAGATCTGTATGAATAGTGAAATTCTCCTTTCATAAATAGAGACCCAAGCATAAAAGGGTAGTTATAATGACAATTATTAAAGGAGGATCTCACTGTATAAAATGTAAATATATTTGAATCAATAATATGAGTTTTGCCGTTATAGGCGATCAAGTTGAAGCTAGCAAACAATATAATATATTGTTACTAGAAAAAAAGTTGGCGTATTGATTTACACTTTTAACGAGAACGAACCGTTTAAAAGAGCGAAAAGACGCAAGTTTAATACAGATTGTAAGGCACGTTGTTATTAACGACCACGTGTTTTCCTCACGTGGACCTGTGACCGAGTGGCGACGCCAACCCACGTTTGACATATCAATATAACTCCGCTGGAAATTATGTTGCATTGCATGCGATATTTCTATGACGCCGAGTTAGCTTTGTAGCACTTTTTTTGTCTTGTAATTCTGTTGCCTTTTTTACCTTCACTGGACGTAAATCAGGGCGACTTCAAACCCGCTATTGGATTTATGTTACGTCTGATGACTAACGGTGCCTCCAGACTGAGGGTCCCCGTCAGGGTTTCAAACCTCAACGAAAATGACTAACACATATGTTAGTTTTTTTTTTGTTAATTTTTTTGGCCCACTTTTAATATACATTTATTGATGGATGGATATCAAATTTTAACCATAATAAATGTGCGGAAACGATTAATTTTAAATATTTACATCAATCACCATGGAACAGATATATCATTACATCCTCATCTACAAAACCAAGTAATGTTATCAAAATCTTTCTAATGGCCTTTTATTTCCACTCACACAGTCATGCTAGCAAGTTTTAGAAGTCGTGATTCATTGATTGGAAATATGTATTTCTCTTTATTTTGTTACGGAAACAATTATCTTTTCCACAAATCAGGTAATCAATTAAATTATTTTTTTCATATTAATCATATTTTGGATCAGGGTAATCAATGATGTCGTGCAGTTTTGATGTTTCGTGACTACAGAAATAATTTTCTTGAAAACTAATAAATTCTTCGCGGTTCGTCGGTAGTAATGTCCTCAATATTCATTTTTTGATATTATACACCCTGAGGGGATTTAAACCTTTAATATCATTTGTACAAGCTTTTACTTAGTACTTACCTACCATGCGTCTTATTTTTTTTATAGAAGACATAACTTTCATGTCAACAAATAATAGCATGTATAGATATCATTTTGCCTTCATAATGCTAATGACCTAGAAAATTCCAGCATCATGTGGGTGTTTCTAAATATATCCGAACTAAACGTACTAAATTCAATTTGGCGAGTAATCGCATGTAATAGCGATCTTCAAGCGGAAAAAGCTGCCACCGTATGATGGGGGTTGTTATTGAGGTTAGGTGTCTGTCGCATATACACAAATCAGTATATTCTAAATGTGCTGTAGAATTTGATTTATTATACTAGTTTAGAACTTATTGTTAAATATTTTATTTATAAACTTAAAAAAGTATATTTTACAATTTTAAACGTATAGAAATTTTGTATATTTTAATGTTCACCTTCTCAGAGCAAAGCATTTTTGGCCATTAAAGTGTAATAAAATTTGTCGTATACCAGATCTACTTTCTTTTATATAATAGTCGTCTGTCGTTAACATTTCGCGTCCGTGTGGGAGTTTCTGTGCTCAGATTATTTCTCGTTTACGGCTATTATTAGAATGTGACCGAAGGGGCGTCGGGTTCTAATCGAATATTCTTGGGAACTGTTCGGACTTTCTTTAATATAGCAATTGTTACAGATAATATTAAAAATGAAATCTATTACTCTCTTTTCTAATTTGTTTAACAGTAATCCAATTTTGTCGTTGATTTATGTAATGTTATGGGCCAATTTCTTAGTTTCTTAAATTTCTTTATACCGTGACATTGGCCTAATTTATTTGTTTCTAAATTGAATGTCTAATTTAATTATTCAGCTATGTTATAGTGAGAAAAATTTAAATAAACTCTCTTGAAAAACATGCGTGGTAACAGTAGACTCTTTATGATAAGGGGTAAATTGGAATTAAAGGGTTATTGTGACGTTCAGTGTACGATCTAACACTAACGATAGTAAAACTAACTATATATTGTGATCGATCTTTTATAAAACCAAAACGCTACTTCACATATTCAGAAACTCTTACTGGTTTAAAATATTCTAACTATTAAACGTTGCCTCTAAAACATGGCCTCGGCAGTTTTGCTATTGTATTGATAGTGGTTGTGGAAAGTTTGAAATGGTGCAAATACCACGGCGATACGGTACAAATAGTGTGGTCGCTGGTCGGCATACGGCGTATGTCTGGCGGGTGACGCCAACGCCCCCGCCGACGGCGCGTCGTGACGTCGCTAATAGCCAGCTTGCAGGGCTGCCAACTGGATCCTCGTACGTATTTAAAATATTTTGCACAAGAAATAGAAACATATTCATCCCCGTAAAATTGTGCTGCTCCAGATTTTGATAAAATTTTTGACTGCAACCAACATACAAAATGTTGTTTGCAGTCAAATATTTTGTTTTGGTATTGGTTTTTAGTTAACGTAAACTTTACACATAACACCTCTATCTTTAGAAACTGTTGTTCAATACATGGCCATGTTTGAGGTAGAAATGTGAATTTGAACTAATATAATTATGAGATTTATTTACTTCTTCATCCGAGTCAGAAAATTTAAACGTTGGCAACCCTGCAGTACGGGTGCGGGCGCTAGCTAGGCGCAAGGCACCACGCCAGTCTCTGCACGACCGCGGCACGGACAGTGTCGGCCCGTTGAGATGTGAACGTATAACCTCCAATTCTGTCTACGACGACAGCTACTGTTACGTGTGCACGATAGTTTCAGTTACTTTCGACACCCCTACCGGTTCATTAACTTTATTTTGTCTTTCTACGGCTATTGTTGCGTATGCTACGCCGGATACACATGTAAGTGTTTCTGTGTCGTTACTAACCACAGTGTTCCGTATTACTGACACGTTTTGGACAAGCTCTTGAGTGTCGTGCGACCGTGACGAGACTAGATCTTAAAGTGCAAATAAATATATCATATCAGTTCGGTATATTCGACGTCTGGCCCTTGTTATTTGGATATGGTCAAAATACGTGACCAGGTAATTTGCTGTGTTGGATAGTTTTTAATCCACTTGTTATATATATATTAATTTCTGTTTAAATTTTATTATTATTTTATATTAATTATTTTCTAAGTTTTGTTTGTAGTCGTTTTTATTATATCGCTTATAATGTTCAACAGGTATCCATTTGAGTCCTACGATCTCTATATTTGAATAAGTGTTGTCATTCGCGCTTGTGTATGTTAGTGCTTCTGTTATGCTTTGACGCAAAAGGATGACGTATAAAGGAAAATGTATAAATTTCATCAAAATAGATCAAGAGGCAAGAGGTAAACATTACGCGACTCCAGACTGCCTATCAAACAATTCGGTTGTTTTGCCGGGTGGTTGTGTAGGTGGCACATTTAGTTTAATTAATTCGTTCGCCCTCAGTTATTGTGGTAATTACTAGCCAATTTACTTGTAGACTTACGGGAGTGGCCCTGTCGCTTTGTTGGCATGGCCACAAAGGTTTCACATATTAGACAATTATTGCTTTACTAACATTATGCACATTGCACATAGTTTGTTAGCAGTTTTGAGGATCATTATCCAGTTTATATAAAAGCCTAGGAACAACCACCGGTATTGGTGGTATATTACCGCTAAAAAGAATCCATTTATCGTATCTCCTCAGTTTCAAGACACTCTCCTTGATGTGAAGCCAAATCTCGAGGTCCTTGGCGTTGATATATCCAGTGACGTTCAGTTTTGCGCTCATTTGGAGGACAAGGCTAAAATAGCCTCAAAAAAGCTTGGTGTTTTGGCGGCCCATCGCTTGCAATTATACAAGGCGCAGATCCGGCCGCACATGGAATACTGTTCTCACCTCTGGGCGGGAGCACCACAATACCAGCTACTTCCATTTGACCGCATTCAGAACCGAGCAGCCAGAATCATTGGTAATCAACGTCTATGTGACAGACTCGACCCATTGGCTTTGCGGCGTGATATTGCATCTCTGTGCATTTTCTACCGCATATATCACGGGGAGTGTTCTGAGGAATTGTTCGGTTTAATACCTGCTGCTGAGTTTCCCCACCGTACCACCCGCCAGAAACTGAAATACCATCCTGATCATCTGGATGAATGGCGGTCTTCCACAGTGCGGTTTTCTAGAAACTTTTTGCCTCGCACAACCACATTATGGAATCACCTTCCAGCAATGATATTTCCGAACCGATACGATATTGAAACCTTCAAGAAAAGAGCTTATTCCTTTTTAAAAGGCCGACAACGTACTTGCAATTCCCCTGGTGTTGCGGGTGCTCATGGGCGGCGGTAATCACTTACCATCAGGTGAGCCGCATGCTCGTTTGTCCCGTGTTATAAAAGAAATATATATTAAATATATATACTTTATTACTAATATTTATAATGCTATTATGAATATTTGAATATGTGGTACCATTACTATTTACTACTGCAAGGTTAAAGTTATCCAACAAACCTGAACATAAATAACATTTTGACATTGTAATATTTTTCTATTTCTGTTTTGAAACCTCTAATTTTGACATAAAATTTTAAAGCATTCTAATATTGCTTGTAACTATATAGCAAATAACTATGATAGGTGTTTGTTATTAAAATAATTTACATCCTTCGTGTATTTATTTAATCCAAAATCACCCTCTGTCATAAATCCAAATCATATAAATACTAATAAAGATAGACTTGATAATGCGCAAGAATTAAAAAAATTCTTATATCTATTTTAACTAAGCAGACATGTTTTCTATACTTACAGTAACGTAATGAGTAATATTAAATATAGAAAATTCTGCAATATTTCGTGACATTTTAATAGAAAAATATATGAGTTCCGTGTTAGCTTCAATTTATAACTTATTTTCAATGTTGAATATACGTGACTATGCAGTCAACATGTAGGCATTACCTTCAGTTGACGATAATCCCTACATATCGTCAAGTGGGTAGAATTGCATTGTGTTCAGCTAATACTTGATTACAATGTCATCCTTGTTTGTCTCATAGCTAACAGTATTGCGTTAAACGATGGAATAGTGTTAGATTCATGCATATAAGAAACTAGTTAGTTAAAATGCTAAGTTATGCTAAGTTTAATAATAGGCATGAAATTTTACATTAATATCTCTTTCCATGTCTGTACATGCATTAATAACAACAACTAAATAAAATAGGTAAGCAATAAACTATTAATCAATTGTCAATTTTATAAGATGCCTATTTTATAAGATGCATAGTAACCCGAATTTAGGAATAATTCTAGCACCGAGAGATAGTTTAATGTTTGTTAAGCGACTGTGTAGAAACGCATTGAACTGTAAAACAGATTAGAGAGTAACTTATACTTGATTATCCCTAATGATCTAATGACTTAACAATTTAGCGTTTGACTACCATAAGGACCAAATTGCCACCACCTAAATAACAATAATTTGCACCAATAATTTTCTTAACTCTGTCTAATACCCTGTAATATATATAATCTTTCATTCCATAATAAACTATCACCTACTACGTTTGTTCATGCATTAGTGTTCCTTTTGTTATAGCCTGACGACCTCGTAAGTCGTCTGTTACTTACCATTCAATAGGACTAATATTATTACAATACAATTGTATTAGTCCATGTCAATCGTACTCTTGGATGCGTTATCCATACATATCTACGAGAATACGTTTATCGTAGTGGTTCATTTAAATTAACTTACATCGTGATGCTAATGCTACATAGTGAAACGCTAAATGGTACAATTTAATTGACCTTCATAAGTCACCTTTTTGTCGGTCTAACATATTCTATTTACGTAAATGTTTTATACTTATTTCTGTTTACTAAGATGAGAAGTACTGGCCCCAATTACTAATAATATGTCCCTTTATACGCTCTATTTTGGTCCTCATTTATATATCCTGGTGAATTCACAATGGTAGGTAAATGTGCTAGAATATACCTTTAGCTCAAGGGATATGGTTCCATGGTCATAAAAAAAACAATATTATTAACTATTTGATTATCCAGTGTCGTATATATGGTGTACAATTAGAGGCACAAATTGTCTATTGAATTCCAACTATTCTATATGTATATAGCTGCCAAAGCTATTGTTAGATTGTTAGAGCAATAACATCCACGCATACTCTGTTCAGCTACTCTCTAGAGTTTACTAAACTACCGATATAATTTTATATTCATTGAGAAAATGCTACCAACTACTAAAATTCATCACCGCTTATCCCGCTCTTATTAAAATTCGACCATCTGGATAAATGACAGTAAAATGAGATGATAAATGAGACATTTATTATATATATAGTAATTTACTAAACTAATATGGATGAATATTCGAAATAAATGAATAAATGGCAGTCATCAATGGCACCTCCATCAACCACACTATAACCGCAGATACGGTATAGAAACCTTCAATAAAAGATTATATTTCCACCTAGAACGCCGCCAATACACATATCCCATTAGGCGAGACCAGGGCTAGGATAGCCGGGCTGTTAAAAAAAATACATTAAGCTAATTGTTCTTAAATATTGAAACTGTCTCCTGGGTCCAGACATTGTAAATATTAGTTTAAAACGTCTGCATTGTTGCACATATGGGTGGGTAGTCTAGGGTTTATCGACCGTCGCGTCTGGATTCGGGTAAACTGTATCCTTCCCTAACAATACGATATTGGTAACGTACTTCCAAGTCTGGCTGAGGCAACCATTTATCATTTGCCTTTTTATTTTTTCCTTGTAGAAAGTTTGTATTGTATTGGATATTTATTTTTAGTGACTTCTCAGTTTAATTCTTACTACGACCGATTTTGTATCCTATGTAAACAATAGTTTAAAATTTTTAGAAGGTTTCTTCTTTTTGAAGGTCTTTTATGGCAAAAATTCAATTGACAATGTTCTATTAAATAAGTTTATTCATAATCAAGTCTTACAAGTCATATTTATAAATGCAAAAAAAAATATTTATTTTATGGACTATTTGGTATCTTTTGTTCTTGCTCCAATTCAATTGTTATGTATATCAACAATAACGATTAATGTATGTATACATTACATAACATAAATTAATCAAAAGATTTTTTATAATTAGTATTTGTTCGTAGTAAAGGGCGTTTTGTTTTTGGTAAGTATGTAATTGAAGAATGAGGTAGGAAGGGTTCATTTGAATGCATTATTTGCAGATAAAAGTACTATCTGCAATTAACAAGTGATAATTATAGATTCCAAGATGATGTCACCCTGTAATTATTTTAGTGTTGGGGGACTAAAAATGGACATACTGAGCATTTATATCTAATTGGGTCAGAACATTTCCTAAAAATTAGGTAGATAAAAATAGTTTAATGTAAATACAGTTTTATTAAATTCCATTAATTGCAAATATTGTATGTGACATAGAATTATGAACTTTCTGTAAGAAAGCAATGAATTGAACATTTTGCTATGCATTATGTGTCTGACATCTTAACCTTGCTCAACACGTTTAAGATTTATGTTTGTTTACAATCTATTAACACAAGTTTGTTGACTTTAAAATAGACGTTACTGTATATTTAGCACATATAATGCATTGGCATTATAATACTAATTGCGATACATAATATACGAATATAACACTTATGTAGCTACAGATTTATTAAGAACCTATTTATGAAAAGTGGTCACATTTATTTTTATATCTTGTCTGTATTTCTGTCTTGAATAAATTGAATGGGCAATTAACATGCACATTAGTCCATTATATTGGATTATTACTAATACAGCTTTGGCTATTGATATAGTTTAAACTCGCATCACACAAACATAATTATTTTGGTTCAAGGAAAATATAAATGACCGAGTCTGTGTTTTCCTGATTTTCGATGATCCATTTTCCTTTTGGCCTCATCCCAAATGATGCATCTCTGGAACAAATTTGGACAATGAAAATGTATATACAGTTAATGCTTTAATAGTATTAGTGCTTACTTTGATATGAAATGAAAAAGTTAGTAATTATATTTCTATCAAAAATCAAATAAACATTGCCTTATCGCATTTTTGTATAATTAAACTTATCGGCTAGATGAAAAAGCATAGTAGCGTACTTTGGACTATAACCAACGACACTTGCGGATTTAACCAAGTTTTTTAGAATGACAGGAAAATTAACGCGAAGAAGGGTATTTATGAACAAGAATGGCTCGAGTGATGTGGCGATTTCAAATGTAAACATGTTTCGTCGTATTAATCCCACGCCGCCATTTTTCTTGCCAAAATCTGTTGCGCCGTCTTCCTGAGCTGACAATGAGTCGCAGTCGTCTCACTCGTGTCCGTGTACAAATATTATTTTTCGTACACTTGAATACGCGTGAAATTAAAAAGAAACATGCTTATGGCGGATGATCTTTGCATGTTCCTAATCATAGAACTATATACAGTTGTACCGCAACTGTTGCATAAGTGTCAAGATCCCCAATTCTTTAGAGATATGTTAATTAGTGCCTAATGAAGACAAGTAAGTTATTATCTGGACTGTTTATCATTCAACATATTCGACCGTTATTTGGACGTCATTATACTCGGAAGGCTATCAAGATATCGCATATTGCTTATCCGCAAATATTTATTCTGTTTTATCACCGGAGATATACTTAACTAACAATCGCACCTTTAATCATCGCTATTCGTTTTCCTCTTTAAATATTTTAATAGGAATTGCGATGATTTTTTCTTGAACTTCGTATAACTAAATGTAAAGAAACTTTTTATATTTGTAGATGCCGCTAGCTAGTTCATCTAATGCATAGAAATGCCTGAATCCTTTATTTTTTCTATTGAAATAAGTCTCTGAAGTTCGACCTGTCAGTTTCTGTTACATATTTCTCGTCTGTTTTTCAAACTATACTAATGACATTGGCCGCAGCTGGCCTTTACGGCTTCACCGAATGAATATGGGGGCGGCTGCAGAGGGCACTGCGCTACCGCTAGGGGTTCGAACATAGGCGTATGGTAAGAATGGGACAAGGGATTGAACGGAGGGGTTTTGCGCCGCTACCTGGTGTCGTATGTACCAAATATAAAAATGGTAGACGACAATTATAGTAGCTTAATTATGGTAGCCTTGTCTAGTGATTTCTTTGTACTTTATTCAATGTTTATTTTCTTTTGTTGCAGCTGGAGATCTCTTCTGTGGCGACATTGATGGAGTTCCGCTTGGACAGCGCGGAGTACTGCCAGGCTCAACACAAATAAACTAGAGGGCGTTACGTGCGAGAGGGGGCAAAAGCGTGCCACCGCTGGACTCATGCTGCCGGGAGCGCGCGCTGAAACTACGCACCCTGCGCACTATTCGACGTACACCCACCCACAGGTAAATGGCCATAACTAACAAATAAATAACTAACTATACCTGCATAATTCACTAACTCAAAAACAACAAATTATCAAAAATAGACTTTAAAGCATCAAAGTTGATTTCCAAATTGCAATTTCTAAGCTAATGCAGTTTAATATGTGTGCAATGCGCAATATAATAAAACAGTAAACAAAAAATCACCCTTATTGTTCAATAGTTTTGGTATAGGTATTTGACTGTTTATTTATGCGCTTGTACACGCTAATAATTGTATTGTAGCAAACTTGTATAGATTTCGTATTTATGACATTCCATTCGTTTGAATAAACAAAGGTAACCCATTGTTTCTAGAAGTTACGAGCACAACTAGTAGTTTACAGGCAATATTTTTGCAGCTGCTATTAATATTGTAAAACTAAGAGCCTTGGATGTTCCTTACTCAATACATATACAACCTCATTGTTGAATGATTTACTACAGCATTCAGCTAGTTTTATTACAATTTTTGGCACAATTATTCAGTGTAAACTGCAAAAGTGGAACAAATACAACAGTATCCACATTGTACTCACGCCAATGGACAAATGCGAGACTACACTCATCCACTTTATCATACTGTCTGATATCGTTCTTCTGATTGTTCCATCTGCATGGATTTTATTCAGTTATTTGTAATATTTTACTGTTGGTAATTACGGATGTGAACATATGAGAACTGGAGGATGAAGCATGTAGGTTCTATACATTTTGCCGTAGTATAATTCGGTCCTATACATTCCCTCTCTTCTGTCCACTATAAAGAGAACTAGAAGGGGCTTAAGTTGGCATCAAAATAAGCACAGAATGTCTATTAAATATATAGATTTTTACTACATTATAATTCTCGTTTGAAACATAATTTCAAATTGAAACGTTCAATAAAACCTATTTTTATATGGAGTAATTTTCTTTCCAACCAGTCATTTATATATATATTGATCGATTGGACCGATTAGTGATATCAGGAACTGAGAAGAGTAAAAATTTTTATATTGAAGTATTGTCATCGAGGAGGGTACAGACGGATAAAGATTTAAATTTGCATGTAGATTGAAGTAGCTGCGCGTTTGGTTTGTCTCCATTCCATTTATACTTATCTACAACAGTGGGGTTGTTTCCATGCTGTAAATCCTTTGATTGAAGTAGTTATCAAACGGCGCCAAACTATCGGGTGTTATCTATTCTTCACCAAGACAAGAGTGTGGTGATAGCAAGCGATACTGATACGATTCCTTATAATATTACATCATAAGTAGACACACATATTCCAAGATTGCGTACATGGTAGGTATATTAAGCCAAAGTCAGGTAGAATACTAATAGAACTGAACCACTTTCACCAATAAAAAATGAACTTCCGAAAATGAATTAAGCTATTTTCATACTAAATTGATAATGTGTCGCTGCAATTTGTATAATGGTTTGAACAATTATTATCAAATTCCCCACTTTACTTCTTCGGGATTTTATTTCAGTTACATGAACATTTATACTGTCTTAGGGCTTTGAATATCCATTACGATTAATCCTCTACAGTCCATAACGATGGCGTAGTGTTTACTAGTCGTGTTATCGGTCGGCCAATAAAGTGCATGTCAACACCGAGTCGCTAACAAGTGATGCGATGCTAGATTGGCTCAGGACCAACAGTTGGATATTCGCACGACCAGTACGAATGCACCGCCCGCCCCCAAGTTCGAAATAATCAAAACATCTCTTTGAAATCTCTACTCTATATTTAGCGCCTATTTTTTTATTCCACTTCAGTCGATGCCGTGACTTTGACGCAATTGCGTTTTTTTACAATGATAACGTTAACAAACAGTGCCGTTTCTACAGACTATATACTAAGATTAATACATGTTACGTTATTGTTTCAGTTACCTTAAATTTGGAACCCACTGTTAATTGGAGCATATCATACTGTAACCGAAGTACGAGTGAGACCTACAAACTTATGTTAAACGCTTAATTTCATTCCCAATTCTGTACTTTTGTTTGGCCGTTTTCGAATGTGCTCAAGTGGTTGAAGGCGTTATCAATGCGGGTGGCTCCCATTATATAATTGGACCCTTTCTAAACCAAACTAAGGAAACTGCCGTGTGTTGTGTGGAAATAGAGTGACAGTTTGCCTGTTAGACTCTGACGGACCGTGACACCTTTCTCTGACGCGTGTGAAGTGTTGTAACACCTTGTGCTACGCCGTTTTCGAGACGCCGCCAATTGTCGATACTTGGAGGGAAGAGTACGAGGTCATCATGAAGCAAAAAGACATCAGACCTGCGCCGTCGCTCATTGAGTACAAGAGCATGCGCTTCTTGATCACCGATCGCCCTTCGGACGTCACCATTCAGACCTATCTCCAGGTAATGAATCTTGTACTAATTGAGGTCGTTTTAAATTTTTAAGACAATAATCACGATTCTTAGACTGTGTTTGTTAATCTACACGTAATACACTAATCTAAAGACGCAAAGTACTTATAATACTAATTACTTATAATTACAAAGTACTTATAATTATTAATACGTACACGTACGGGCTGGTCTGCCCAAGAAAGTAAAGTTAATTTAGAAATCATTTTTGTCTTTATCTGACAACCAACTAGACTACTGAACCCATTAAGAATAAAATAAAGACATGTTTTGATAATCATAGACACAATTAAATTTCAAAAGTAGTGTATGTGATTTTAGTTAGTTTCCCTAGTTGCGTAATATAAAGTCCTGCATCGAACGAGAAATACCATGTATTTTCTGGAACAAATATAGTAAGCCGTAGGGCTTACGCCGTCTCTAGACATAGATTCGGCAACTATTTGGGCTACAATAAATTAATTGTAAGACAGACAGCGTGTGTTATGGATCCGTCGTCGGAATAGCCAAAGTTTACTTATTGCTTGCAATGTGCTGTTGATTACATTTAGAACAGTGACTACCGTAGACTTTGTACTGAATTGTCGGCATGGGAACCTGAGTATTTCTGCTATTAAGAATGTTGTTTTGTGAGGCATTACGTTTAAGATATAAGTAGTAGAAAAGTTATAGGATACGGAGCCATGACATCTTAGTCCTCTGGAATGATGGAAACGGCTGTCATCACATGGTTACGTGATGACTGTGATAATATTCAGGTTCATCACGGTAAACTGTTTGCGCTAACACTATATGCTGTAGGGCACTAGTGGGGAATGGGAGAAGAATAAGCAAGAGATGATTGAGTTGGATCACGATGGTTTGATGAAGCGACCGCGTGGATGTCGACCAGACGTGATACATTATTCTCTATTTAATTCTCCCCCTTTCTAATCGTCATTTCGTAATCATAGTACAAGCTCCTTAGTTTGGGACCAGCTGTTACTATGTGAACTCGTCTTGGTTATTATGACGGCTTTGGTGGTCTAGCGGTTTACTTCGCAAGGTCGCGAGTTCGATTCCTCGCACGATGCAAACATTTGTATTCATGAATACGATTGTTTGTATTGTCTGGGTGTATTCTATATAGGTATATTATATTATATATGAATTTACAATGAAAATGTATTTAAGTATCCTATCAGTTGTCTATTATCCATAACACAAATTTTGCTTAGTTCTTTTAACAGATGTTAATGGACTGGTGCTTGCACTTACGGTTTACGCTGAAGGGGCACCAATGGAAGATGATAAGATGAACATAAGGTCAGGTCAGATACTCCTGGTGAATTTATCACGATGGTTTCCAGAGGCAACTGCGTGGAGTCATCAGTCACATTACTAACTATCCCCTCTCCCCCCAGCTCTGCTTAGTTTTCGCTGTGCGAAATGTTCTAGGTTAATATCGTCTTTAATAATTTTTGTGTGGCTGTTACAGGAACTGAAGAAGCATAATGTATGCATAGTAGTGCGTGTGTGCGAGCCCAGCTACGACACCGCACCTCTGAAGGCGGAGGGGATAGAAGTTCGCGATCTCGCGTACGATGATGGCACTTTCCCACCTGTCAATGTCGTCGATGACTGGTTCGAGATACTGCGCGAAAAGTTCGTATACTTATTCCATTATTTTAGCGACCCGTCCCGACTTCGCACGGATGCAGTACAAATCATTGAGTTTCTCGGCTTGTTCTATACACATACATTACACATGTATAATAGATACAAGCCTTCCTTTTGAATGACTATATATATTTCTTAAAACTGAGTTATATTTCAAAGTTGTAAATCAAAATGAGTTGCATTATTAAATTATAAAAGGTATCAGCGAACAGACAGCGGTAACGATTTGTTTTGTATGTAAAGATTGTTAATGTAAAGATAATTCAAAATATTTGCAAAAAGGGGCACAATCTTGACAATATTAAACAAGAACTAATTTTATAATAAACATTATTTTAAATACAGATATTGTTGTAATACTGAATGTTTTTATTTATTATGTTTGTTGTTATTCTAATGTATTTTATAGATTTTGTTGTGATACTTATTTGCAGAGCTCAAAATAAACCAGAAGCAGCAGTCGCTGTTCACTGTGTGGCGGGCTTGGGGCGCGCACCAGTCATGGTGGCCATCGCACTCATAGAACTCGGGATGAAGTATGAAGAAGCCGTCGAAACTATTAGGGAGTAAGTTTCTTTTCCTATAAACATTTTTTATAAATGGTTAAACAACTAATGGGAAGTGGTCACAATCGACTAGATATATTACAGGACCACGGATTGTTGTGTGACGTTGAAATTTGAAGTAAAAATAAGATTTTAGCACGAGGACCGATATAGGTTTCCTTTTTTCTAAATAAAAGCAGTCGAAGACGTATTTAATTTATGTGTGTATATTTGTTGCTTCATCCAATTTCAGTCTCATGCATACTTAAATGTCGGCCTCGCAAGATGTTTTTACATTGTATAAATATTATTTTTTTGATAAATATGGTATTTAAATGACTAATATTGAAGTTGGAATTATTTCTTGTATAAATATGTACAGGATATCGCGAAAGCCAACAGAAATGTTTACATACAAAAGGAAGTGGATGACTGATATATATTATTAAACATAATTGTTATCATTATTAATAATAGTGTTTATTTATAACATGCGATGCCGAGAGCGGCTTCGTGTCCTCGATTTTATTACTGTATATATATGTAAATATAACATATATAATCGGTACTGGAAAGCCACCGTTTTGAGATATGGCTTCTGAAAATTATATTAAAATATTACAGGGTTAAAATGCACTAGGTTTTTATATCTTTAATATCGTAGGTGAACAGCTACTATGGAAACAGAGCCCAATACACCAATGAAAGAGAAGAAAAACGCTAAATACCTTGCCAGTTCTATTAATGGATATAAAAGCTATAGCGTACCCGCCTGCACTTATGGTATAAGTTGGTTGGGCATCAGTTAGCCCGTCATGACGTGGTCAACCTGATATTGCTACCAATAGGGATGTCCTAGAAACTCCTGTCTATTCCAACTTGGTTATGATAGGTTACCATTTTTGTCTAAGACATGTGCTCAGCATGGCATGGGCGACCGTCGACTGAACATCATTAGATTTTTAGAATCTCTATTAAACTATATCAACTTTATCATTGATGTCATGCAGCATACTAACAATGTGTTTATTTCCAGTCAGCGACGTGGGGCTATTAATGCGAAGCAGCTCTCTTATCTGGAAAAGTATCGACCAAAATCGCGTCTTAAGAAGAATGGCAACAAGAACAACTGCTGCGTGCAGTAGGTAGTAGGCTCGGGTCGCCGACGCCCACCTAGCCGCGTCTGTAGGAAACCGTCCTGCGCCCGTAACAGCGAATCTAACTCTGCTTTCACACACACACTTAGACAAGGGAGCATAGACAAAAATAAAATTAGTTCTTAACATAGATGTCGCCTGTTTTTGACGACCATTTTATTTTATTATCATTATCTTTTGAGGGGGAGTTGTAACCGAATTCTGCCTTAAAATTTGCACGTGGAAAATTACACACATTCCTACTTAGTTACCCGCGAACTGACAGAGAATTTGGTTATGATCTCAGTACCTCTATTTTATGTCTTTGACATGTTTATCTTGAATTTTCTATGAAATATAATTGAGAGCCTTATTGTAAGCTAATGTTTGTATGGTCAAGTAAATGTGTAACCCGCGCCTTGTGCTCTACTGTGTATTAGTGGAATATGTTAAATAGAAGCAAACCACGATTTGTGTTCATAGTTGAAACAGTTACTCGGGTATTAAATTTATATATTTAATATCATAATAAATTACAATATCCATAATAAAAATGCAGTCAATGTGTGCTCTTCGATAATATTTTTTTGTGTGATTAAGTCATGATAATTTTCTATTACATATTATTTCCTTCGTAGCTACATTTATTTTTTTAATAAATTGAGACATAATATGATTTTTACTCTGAAATATGTTAAGTATATAATGTTGTAAAAATGCTTTTGTAAAAGATGTTGTGAGAAAATAGACACAATTAATGCAATTAACGAAATAAAATAGTATTCCAGAATAATTCAAACTTTGACGATACGGTTCAAGATATTCTGATAACAAGATTACCATACTTGAAACTTGACATCGTTGATGAAATAACTCTTTGATATTATTTTTCTATTTCTAATTTTATGAAATATTTAATGAAAAATATATGATCGTGTAATTACGGAACAGTCACATTCATGAATAAAAATATTTATAATCAACAGATCTTTCATTTTATTCCTTGGCTTTTGATGCTTAAATGGGAAAAATATACATCATAGGACTCACCTGGTGCCATTATAAATAATTTTGACTTCATAGATTCTAAATTTTACTTTAATAATAAAATAAAATTACAAAATCTTCAATGAGGTATGAATCAGATTGCTACATATGAAATCATGGCTACAGTGGCTAGTCATGATGTCATGACTCCAGTAAACGTTCGTAACCTTACGATTTGGGTGATAATCAGACGAATGTCGAACATTATATTATTAATACTTTAAAATACAGTCTCAAATATGAATACCAAATTCATAACAATATAAATAGAAATACTAACATCTTATTTTACATGGAATAATGTAGAATGCAAAAACATAATACATAATTAAACATCAATAAATTTACAATTAAAAAAAAAAATCAGTACATTTTCCTCAATCATTGGAAATAAACCCTGGACGCCGACGAGGGTGCGAGGTAGACTCAAATTTGGAATATGTCACCTAGTTTTCATTTCTTCGGTATATATTTGTGGACTGTGCCTCCGTAGCGTGCCACAAATGCACTAACGTCGAACTTGCGTTTACACCCGTCGTAGTTCATGAAGCGTACTTTTCCGAACACTGCCCGCTCGGCCCAGCCTTGATCGTGTGTGCCGCATATTGACCACATGCAACCTACAAGACCAATTATTATTTTTACCACTGTGAATAGGAAATAACTTAGTACCTACTGGTTGTGAACACGGTAATATACAACATCAGACAGATGCACTCTTACAGAGATAAATTAAGAAAGTTCAAGAAAACACTTGCCCTGTTAAAAGTTTATTCATAACATAAAACTATTTCTAACCTCGGCGATGGCCCACAACCCTGAGGACGAGCCAAGGTGGTTGTCGTCGGGGCGAGGCCATTTCACAGTGTCTTATTGACGAAAATTTTGTAATCTCCATTTAGTTAATCTATGGTGCATTGTTAATTTTATTTAATTATTACCATAAACCTGAATAAAAATGTAACTTAAATATTGAAAAATCAAAACTAAATAATTTGATTAGTGCAACATACCAACATAACCATTTGGGTCTCGTCCATCCACACTGTAGTGATCATTTAAGTAGATGGCATACTTCAAAGCATCCTCTGGACTAGACGTCCACTCCAAAATTTTCTTGCACCAGTACATGCGTAGAAAACCATGCATTTTGCCCTCTGTTACCAACTGAAGTTGTGCTGAGTTCCAAAGGTCGTCATGTGTTAGTGATTTGGACAGTTCTTCCAATGAATATATATGGGTTCTTCTGTCTTTTCTGGAGCAATAATAATTCAGTTCAGTCATGTTATAAGATAAAGTTCCTATCTTTACCAGTATAAATATTTATATGGCAAATTTATACATAAAATTCTTGTACTATAGTCATAAAATATAGATAATAGGCGTAAGGGCAAGAATTTTTAAAATTAAACCCCAACATACAAAAATACATTTAAAAATTCAATTTCTTAATAGTAATCAGCCACTGTATATTTGAACATAACATTATATACAGTGGAAATTGAGGAGAAAATTATAAGTGAATCACCTATATTCAAGGAATGCCTATTATTCATACGATGTCACTTCACTTCAGATCTGTCATACAGTACCTACTATTCTATTTTCTAGGTAAACACTCGAAATTAAGTAACTTTATTACTTAGTCATTATTTGAGCAAAATCTCTGGCATTGTATTTTTAGTCTGCTCAAAGAAGGCGATCACATTAACTTAGTTTCAAAATTAAGGGTTTCTATTTTTAGCATTAAATTTGACTAAAATAGAAACTGCGTTGGTCAGTAGTTCCTTACTTCTTCGATTAAAAATCTTAAATCACAAAAAATTATATTTTGCGGAAGTCTATTTTACTACTTAATGGATTTATTTTATTTTGTTTAATTCAGCTACAATTAGCATGTGTGAGATCACAAATATTCAGTGCAGAAATTTGACTACCATTATGATCTTTTCTAATGGTCTACAATGATACTGCAACACGTGTTTCGCCTTTGAACAAGGCATCATCATTGAAGGCATTGAATAGAGTTCAGATATAGTTTGTAAGCCTAGCTCTTGGAAAGCTCTAGCTCCTTGCTGACTGAAGATTAAACAAAATAATATAAATCCATTAAGTATGTTGATACTTTCATTTGACATTCTTTCAAGCAACAATACTATTACCATTTTTAGATAAATTAATGCGTTATTAGTATAGTACATAATTAACCTGTGATCATCCAATGTTTTTTGTGCCCAATTGCTCGCTCCCTTTATATTATCATAGTGTTCACAGTAAAAGCAAAAATTATCTGCCAGTTCACGTCGGACTATCGCCTCCTCCAAGAATACATTGACACTCTCTATGTATTTAGTTTTGTATTCTTGTACACACAGTGCTACTCTCTGTACTGATATCTGACCTGAAAAAACATATATCTATAACTATCCACATTACAATTGTGTTTGTACAACCACAGACTTTGTGGTTTAACACAGCCTTAATTCCAATGGATGCGATATCGGATCCTCGCAAGATGTAAGCATTTTGATTGTATTTACAGAAAAAAATGTGAACTTGTTTAGCTCTGCGTGAATTGTCCAGGGTTATTATTATTATTACCACAAAGCAAAACTTGCAATAACAGTACAAAAAGGTACACAGTAATGGTAGAGTTAATCCTTTTAATAATAATCCTAGTAATCATGATACCTGGATTCCTCATATTTAATAAGATAAGATTTTTAATAACCATACTTCAATCTGAGTAAATTAGTAAACTAATCAAAATAATAAATAATATCAAAAACATTTTAGAATTTGTGAGGATATCATGTTACCTATATAGAACAAAAAATCTAGAATATCTTTTCTTATTGTATTTACGAAATATGTTGAAAATTAAATTATTATATAAACAATATAAAATAAAATAAATTTACATACATACCAAAATGGAACCAAGGTGATAAATTACTTGAAGCATCCTGTGTAGGGTCATTACGTTTCGATGCAAATATTTTTAACCTTACGTCTAGGAAACTCTTGAGCATTCTCATAGCCTCATCGTAGCCAGGCTTGGCCCATTCTATTGGTCCCACTGACTTATCTGCTTCTCTGGTCTCTATTGCTTCATCCCAATCTATAGGCTATGGATTTATAATATTTCATAATGTAATAATGTGCATTGAAATCTTATACTCTGCAAATTATATCATGGCATGATTTAAGGTGATAGACATGTAAATTATTGTCTATATTTATTAAAACAATGGACTACAAAAAAGTTAATTATACTATTATATATTATCTTTGCCTACAACAAACTATAAATATAGCATTTATAATGCTATAACATAATGATAGAACAACAATAACCTTCTGACCTATGCTATGCATGCATAGCAATTTAACTTATTAAAAACTTATTTAAATTCACTTGTTAGTTATTATTTATTACAATAAGTTAAGATGGTGACCCTTGTACCAATGGCATAGGTAACAATTATGTGATATTGAATGACATGAATCCAAGAAATGGATAACAAATGCACCATAAATGTCAATTTTGAAACAATAAATTTTTGAAAGAAATTAAAATAAAGTGGAGTCACTTTATTAAGATAAGTAAAAAAATGTAACTAACTTTTGGTTCAAATTTGCTGGTGTATGGATGATTGATTACTGGTGGAAACTCTGTAAGGTATTCATCAAGTTTTGAGTTTATTTTGTTTCTGATAGTTCTGGCTGAATATTCCTGTTTATCCGAAGTAATCCAACATGGAATAATGTTGTGAGCATCCACCTGGAAATTATATTGAAAATTCCAGTATTAGAATATAATGATAGTGTAGTCTATATTACAGTTTAAATACAAGTTACAAAAAAATTTGTATTTAGAATTAGCAATCAAAATAAGGTTTTTATGACAGGTATCCATCACTTTATAGATCAGGCATCTTGCTATTTCAGTATAGAAAATATTATATCAATTATATATACCTGAATCAAAGGCACATCTTTGCTGAGTTTATTTTTAACACCATCTAACCATCCCAGAGGTACTCTCAGTGGATTGAAGTCACACACAACAGCTCCAATATTATGCTTGAGTGCCCATTGTGGCAATACATTATCTGCATTACCCTCAAGCAAATAGAATGATATGTTCAATTTCTTGCATTCGGCTGCTACTTTTTCTAAGCCTAAAACCAATAAAACAATGGGGGATATTTTATTGATAGTATTGGGAATGGAAGACTTCATTGTTAGCAATGTACCAAGTCAGATGGACCTCTATAGCCGGCCATTTAAAAATTCATGAATTTATCAGAATGGGCCATCTGACCTGAGCTCATACTCATTTTATCTTACGCTAGTATATACACTTAACACTGGTGTCTTCCATAATCAGCCATTAAAAATATAGCAACATTTCATTATCAGCCCTTAAAATAGTAATGCATATAATTTCCACTAGTCTGACAATGTATAGTATTCTGTTATATTGATCTCCAGGCAGTCATACTGGAAAACACTGTGGAATTCACCACAAAGGGTAAAGTGACTTCATACTCATATTTTCATCCATCCTGGTGGTTGGCCAACTAGTTTCATAGTATTAATTAAAAAACAGTTCGTCTTAGCTCGTGTTACAACAGATAAAGAAAATTTTATTTAACCTTTTAATAAGAAATGAAACTGTCTGATAGAGGCATCCAAATATTTTGGTATTAAACAAAAACACACATGTAGAGGTACTTCATTCTTTAGAGCGAGATGCTGTGCGAATAAAAAAGCCCAGTTGTCCTGAACTCTACAATCCCTGGACATCCAATAGACAACGCCTTCGCAATTTTCGGGCACAAGTTGCGCTTGAGATATAATTCTCAAACGTTTCTTAATGAATTGAAAATCTGAAATAGATTCAGCTGTCTGTTCGCGGTTTTGTTGGACCTTCTTTATAAAGTCATCTAGTGTTCCATTTGTTTCATTACAGGATGTTGAAGCTGTGGATAACTTATTTTTCTTCGGTGCAGAGGCCATTTGAAAGTATTTTAAGTAATTAAGTTTAAGTAATAATATTGATTGCATATGCCTAATACTGTTTGATAATTTAAATTTTCTGTAAATAAATATTACTTAATTTACCTACACTTCACTTATTGGCGGAAATAACATTAAAAATATAAATAAATATAACTGATAGATTGACAACTCTGACAAATAGACTGACATATTACTATTTTAGGCTAAGAACAAGAAGTTAATTTACGAACTGTTCTTAGCCTTCTTTAGGGAATTATTTATGCCTCTTTCGTCGTAATATAGGTGATAGTATTATAGGTATTTATTGTTCTTACTACAACATAACAGTATACTACATACTATATATTTACTACGTAATATTGAATTAACCTATTTTAATATTACAAATATTCTTCACCTGCATATAAAATTTGGATCGTTCTAGCTGTGATTTCGAAAATATTTGTTCTTCAGATATTCACTGCAGGGATGACAATTTGTTCTATCTATATTTAGTCTCATACAATTTAAAGAACAAAATGAAACAAGGTTGCACCTATTGCATTTAATTTCTCCTTCATGTAGAGGAAGTATACATTCAAAACACACCTTAAATTTCTGGTCCTGTAACAAATAATCAAGTTTAATAATAGAAAGTTAAAAATTATCTAGATCTATTACAGTCTATACTATTCTGGACCCAGTGTGATTAACCATAATCTTCATATTCTGTGCTGGTAGGTACTTACATTCTTTATTGCAAGTTCAGGCATTACATGAGGTCTCTTCCAAAACATAGCCGGAGACATCATACAAGCTGTTTTATGTTCTTGCAAAAGACACGAAACTTTTGAATCGACTAAGTCTTTCTCGTGAGCTGTTGGTACTGGTCTTGAAATATAACCGAGTTTAAACCTAATTTGGTAGTACTGCACAATACAGAGCAAGTGTTTCAGAATAAGTTTATCCTGGTACATTTTCCTATGTTTGAGTTTTAATATGTCCCATATTTCAAGGCAACGTTGTGGTGTTAGCCAAAGACTTGTACTCTTTTTGTCCTTGTGCTCTTTTAATATTATATTCCAATGACGGTGTCGGAATCTGTGAAGTAAAACAGTTTCTAAAAATATTAACTGTCATCTGTACCTAAATATTTGATAGGTTATTTTGAAATTTTGTACCACTATTTCATACCCCGTTTGCAAAGAACGTGAAAATATTATGTAACCTTTACACGATAATGCTACTGAAATCTTAGACCGGTCTATTGTTAAAATTCATTGCATTCGTAGTTTTTAAAAATTAGACAAAGTTGCAACATTGTATTATGGAACACTAAAGGACCTCGTTAGTTTAGTGGTTTAACACACTGCTTTACTTCCGATTGTCGCTGCTTCGATTCCTCGTACAGTACAAACATTTGTATTCATGAGTGTGATTGTTTGTATCGGTCTGGCTATTTTCTATGTATAATATGTATTTACAAACAATATGTAAGGATTTATATCAGTTGTCTAGTACCTATAATACAAGCTCGGGATTAGATGTGTGAATTGTCCAGGAGATTTTTTTTTCAATAATATAGGTATACCTATGTATAAGCTCTATAAGCTCTATAACCAGCTTCGCTTGTAGCCACCTTATATACAAAAGTCTAGCGCATTCCGTTAGTAGTGCTATAGCATGCCTGAATTCTCCTACTTCATCTACTCCTATTCTGCCTAACGAAAGTCTCTCATCTTTTTTCTCCTTTTCTTTGAGCTTATTTTTAACATTCGATTTGCCTGAAAATAATTAAATATAGCAGGATTCTTTTCTTATTTAGTCTATGGTAACTTGTGTCTCTGTGTAAATTAACCTTGCGAAGTAACTGGTTGTGTGTTTATTTGTGAACTTTCTAATTCAAGTAACGTTTTTTTTGCAAAAACAAATACATTCGGATACTTCTCTTCTCCATCTTGACATTCTATTAATGGGTCAGCTCCGAATAGTAGTAAATCTGTAAGCTACAAAATATATTTCGATATTGTTATTGACATTGATTCTCTGATAATAAAGTTAATTACGGTACCTACTATACTGAAAAATGCCAAGATTGCTAGATTTTTATTAAAAAAGGTTTAATATATTGTTTTTTAAGATTTATACATGGTTAATTATAAGCAAAAGGCGAGTTCATAAAAAATATAAAGAACCTTATGCTTAAATTTACAATTTTATCTCAATATATGTTATATAAAGGCGACATACTATTTGTGGTCGATCAGTAACACTTGAAGTTTTGAAGAACGGCAAATATAACATTTTGACAAGAACAGTCTGATTTCGATCATTAATAATTGCATTGAGTTTGCATTTTTGACTCTTTATAAATGTATCCAATAAATCCACATTTTTTGAAAATGCGACATCTACAGCAGAACATCCTTTAAACTGAACCATAGGATCAGAACCATATTCAAGTAATAACTCAATAATTTGGCGACGAATCTAAAATAAACCGAACAGTCTAAATAAAATCAACTTAGTACTTAATTACTGATAATAAATATCTTCAGATTTTATTTAAGTAGAGTTATGGAGTTAAATAACTATAGTTATTTTTTATAGTGATTAGCTTGCTGAGTAGCTAGTCCTATTTGGTATCTGACCTCTTCTTCTGATTCATTTTCAGTTCTTCTTACAAGAACAACATGTAGCAGAGTCGGGCCAGGAATTTGAAGATTACAATCAGCATCTCCATATCGTAGTCTATAATTTGTATTACTACCGCATTCCAACAAAGCACGGATTAATTCTAAGCTCTCATTTGTAAACTGACGAGATATGGCCACGTCTAACGGTGTGTAATCCAGTGTCTGCAAAGAGTAACAAAAGAAATTAATAGAAAAAAATAGGTAATGTAGTTTTGCTATAGAAGTATAGGTGACCATATTTTTTAGTCTTCAATAGAGTTCCACTCTTCCATCACTTATCCTAATCTTTTGCAGTCGGTGTTTTTCACTTCCATTCATTCCTGTTCGTAGTCATCTTGTTATTTACCCCCTTTCTTGCTATATCTTCTTTCATAGTCAGTTAATAAAGTTTATTATTATTACAGTCTAGTATTATTACAATCATCTCTATTTGGCCTTCTTTGTCATTATAACCATCCACATTCATATCATATTTCTTTAAAAATTTGTTTTTTTATTCCTACATATCCCAGTACTACTCTTGAGCTCTTGTTATTGTTTTAACTTATATAACTACATTCACAGAAGTTTATTTACATAAGTAAGATCTTTTTCCTGGTCTTGGCAAGCGGAATAGGTAGCTTGAAAGTGCGACGGCTGGTCACATTATTTATGATACTATCATTTACATTTACTTACTTCTTCGCATACTTCATTGACATCAGCTCCATAATGTACCAAATGACGTACAAGATCTGCTGAGCCTGCAACAGTGGCAATCAACAGAGCTGATTGCGGACATTTAACTAATTTCGGATTTGCTCCATCAGACAATAGTTGAAGAATTGTTGACATTACTTGAGATAACCTGATATAACATTAGATATATCTCAATTTTAGTTTTTTACATCTGTAGTGATTTTGAGTAAAAAGAATAATAAGTTTTCGGTATATTGTTATGTATGGTAAATGTGTTACAATTTAAATTGGGTAAATAAAATAGTGGCGATAAGTTCAGGTTTATTAACTATTCTAGATAATAACATCTCTGGATTAAATTATCCTCAAGACAAATAGAAAAATATTACTTAATTTTAAAACTAAGGGTTGTTACTTATTATTACCTCTTGCTTTTATAACCAAGTTTATTGTCTCTTGAAGAAATATGGGTTTCATGTTACTGGGAGTTAAGTTATATGATTATACCATGAAATCTACATCAATGTTATAAAAATTACATATAAATTTGGCGTAATCTCCGCTACTACATATAAATATATATATATATAAATACGAAAATTTGTTTAGTGTTTGATACCCCATTTGTGTAAAAAGGCTTATAACATCATTTCATGACCAATAGAAGCGGAGCTTCATAGAAAAATATTAAAAAAAGCAGGAAAATTGTGACGCAAACGTAAATGCGCATTTACGGGTCAACTACTATATAACAAATATGATTAATAATAAAATGATTACATGTCTGTTTTCTGTTTTTCAATACTATCAACTGATGTATGTTCAATCCCCTCAGAACTCTGCCACATAATGTCCTTGCTTGGTTTCATACCATTTTTAAAAACTTTAGATGTAAGTTTCCTGGGTACTCCTTCATTTCCTTTCTTTGAATCTTCTCCACTTTCATCTAGTTCTTTAATCAAATCCTTGATTTCAAAAATATAAGGAACGGGACTGACCATACTTGTTACTAAAAGAAGATTATTTACTCTACTCGCGTATTCATTACTAATATTCTGATATATGCTTATATCTTCCGAGAATGATTCATCTGATACAAATTCAGTAGGTTTAGATAATAGTACTTCAGTTTTCTTTTTTGTAGATGTAACTTCCTTAAGTGACTGCGACGATTTAATTTTTTTTGCAGCAGCATTTTTGTTTATCTTGCTGCTAGTTCTAGGTATTGATCCGCCAACAATTGCATTCTGTTTACCACGTATCATATTCCATTCTAATATCTTATGTTCGGCTGGACCTATTAAAAATTAAGGTTTGTTTACTTTCTCAGCCTTCTCTCATACTTCAATTTTACTCTAAGAATAATATAAGATATAATTATCAATATAATAGATATAATCAAACCATTCTTGCAACATAAGTCTCTCTTAGCAGAACATATATAAGTACATAATGCAGAAGAATAAAATACTTACGAGGTGACACTATTGATGATGGGAATAGGGATTGAAGCATGTCACCGGGTGCTACATCTTTTTCAATACAAATAAATCTGAGTAGTGCTAGTCCTAATGCAGTGCAACAGGAATCGTTGTAATTATTAACATTAGCACCAGCTTCCACGACAAAGTGAATTAAGTCACAATGATCTCCAAACTGTTGAATATGTACTTTAAATTATACTATGACTAGGCTGTTTCAATAGTATTGTATTCCAACCATTTAATAAGTCTGCATTACGTTTATGTATTTAAGTAATAATACTTACAGTAGCGTACATTATGGCTGTGTTCCCTTGATTATCGGCTATATCAGGATCTATATTAAAATCATTGATCATTTGAACAACTATCGTGAGGTCTCCTAAATAACTGGCCATCAAAAGAGTCCTATAAAATGGAACGGCGAAATGAAATCTTTATAGATATTTAATAATTAGATTTAGGATTACACAAACCTGCAATCAATTTCATGTTTAGCAGCCGGTTTGTACTTTTTCCTTGGACCACTTATTATGCTTGATATATCAATTTCAGAAGTCCTTTGGGTTTCGTGTCGATAACAGTGTTTCATCATGTGTAGGATGGAGTCACTGTTATTCCAAACAAAGTACAGTTCTGTGTCTTCTAAGTCGTTGTCAGAATTCTCAGACTTAAATCGTGGAATTTTCATTATAAATTTACTTAATAGTTATAATTAGTTGATCGATTGGTAGTTGAGGATTCGATTACTCACATGATGCAAACATTTGTATTCATGAGTATTATTGTTTGTATTGATCTGGATATTTGAGTATATTAACTTGGGACAAGATATTTGAAATGGTAAAAAAAAATATAAACATACCATTTTGAATTTAGTATCAGTTTTCTTCAGAGAGTATATATTCCCCTTATAATATTTATGTTCAAAAACATCTACTTGACAGAGTTTACTGGCTTGGTCTGTACAATATCTAGGATATAATTTTAACCATTTGTCTGCTGCCCGGAGTGGATTGGAACCAAATTGTTTGATCAGATCCAAGGCGCTGTTTATTTCACCGATCTTTAAAATTATTAAAAGAATTATATAGATATGTATTTTAGTTATGTAATATAACATAGTATATAATATAGCAAATGATATCACAAATGACTAACAATCTTTGTAGTAGCAGCTAAGATAATTCGATGAGATTCGGCAAACGTCTTTCCGGTGCCCCTAATTGTCAGGTCAGGAATAATATTAGTTGTTGGACGCCATGCAAGTCTCACCAGTCGTGTTCCACGCCATAGTCCAACGTTAGCACGCATGTTAGCATTGGATTCTACACCAGGACCCCAGCGTACATTGCTATGGTATAAACCCTAGAATGGTAAAGATTGCCACAGTATAACAGATGATGCATGTACATTCTGACCAAATTCGGTTTAGTTTCTACACAGAAATATATACATGGATGTGAAAATTGTCAACCAAGTAACGCACTGTAGCTGAAACTGTTCACTGTGCCATTATCTCATTTTTTCTTCACGTCTTACGTTTTCTAACCGTTTCATTGTTTTTGGCATCTAAGAGTCATGTCATGAATTTTGTTAAATATAGGCTGTGGTTTTCGTAGATAAATTCATACTAAATATAATATTATAAAGAAAGAGAGAAAGAGCGGATATTTTTGTTATGAGGAAAGTAATTACAAACAAAAGCAGTAAATAAAACCAGAACCATTGCACCGATTTGAGAAATACTTTGAATTTTTTAAGGATATATTATTCCAGAGTGATATAGTCGTGTTGATATATTCAGAGTTATAAGTTGTATGTTAATAATTATAATATTAAAATAACCAATATTAGAAGTTAAGTGATACTCACAGTGAAGACTCTGCCGTCGGGATACGACATAGACCCGTAGCCGTGTATACAATTACTATAGAAGTGACCCTCGTACGTCACCGAGGTCCCCTGGGGACCCCGGTATCTCCAGTGATAATCTCCAAGACCGTGCATCGTGTCTCGAAGGAAACAGCCCGAATACCATTCCAGTGACTGAAGCAGAACCCAGTGTTTTTATACACTTTCAATGGAAACATTTACGGACATTACATGGCCTTCAATATGCTGCCATTCCGATGGATTAAGCAACGTACCTCGGTATCCTGTAATTTCTCTGCCATATCTTACCCTTCATCCGAAGCATAGCTTATAATAAAGTTGCTTGACTTTATAAAAAATGACAAATATGTGTAGGCTATAGTTTTAAATTCCGTATTCAAGGGTTTAATATGTAAATCTGTACTACTAAGTTGTAGGTAGTTGTGTGTATCTACGTGAACTCTATTATGATATAATTTTATTTCTGAAAACTGCGTACATATCACATTTTTCACGCCTATATTGTATATATAACCGCTATCTATATAAAATATTATATATTGGGAGAATTTGAATGGTTAAAAGGTAAAAAATAGATAAGAAGTGTCTACTTGTGTTTATTTCCAGATACAATAAAATTATCAACTTTCTCACGCATGTTATCACATACGAATACTTTTCATATTAAAGGTAACCATACATTAAATACGTATAATAGTGATATTTAGGTGGATCCGTGATGTGGTCTTAAATCGACGTTTGTACTTCTCGGATTTTTCTTCTTTCTTTCTTTCATATCGGTCAGAACGTCACTTCATAAGTCCTTCCACGGACTTAGAGTCCCCTCTATACTTGACCACATTATCATCTGCCGAAGCTGCAAAGACAATCTATGGCCAACAGCTTTACGAATATAATAATAATATCTTCAGGTAGCACCATTTAAGACAGATAACCAGAACTTGTGTTATGGACACTAGACAACTGGTAGATTTACATAGATACATTTTTTCTAAATACGTACATAATATACTATACATAGAAAACACCCAGACTAATACAAACGATTATACTCATGAGTACATAAATGTACCGTACGTGGATCGAACCCGCAACCGGAAGTAAAGCAATGTGCTAAACCGCTAGACAACCGAATAGTATAAAGGGAAGAAGACTTAGGTATAAAGGAAAGACATAAACCTCTGCGCTAGACCAATGGTTCTCCCCTTTCTCATATTTGCGTTCCTCATCATCTCTCACTCCTACATAATACTCATCATATTTCCAAGATTTGTCTGCTTTCGTTGCTAGCGCGTTACACAGCGTCTTCACCATAATAACACAATGTTATTATTTTTTTATTTTATTAACAAATATAAATAAAAGCAATTGTTGTACAAAAATTTATGAGAAATATTATTACAAAAATTAATGATAACAAAAATATTGTGATGTCAAAATAAAATGTTATCTACAATGAGTAATGCCAATTTTACATATGTCATAAATTGACATAAATATCTTGCAATGATAGCATGGTAGAATATTCGCTTGATCGTCTGATATTCAGGTAGAGGCTAGTAGAGGTATATATTATATTTACTAAGCATTTATGTTTAAGCAGCACGAGGCATAACTACGAATTAGGTAGAGTAATAGTAGTAGTCTGTCAATCGAACAAAATACTATGAGAGAATTATTTAGAAATATATATTTTATGTTCTCAAAGAGTACCATTGTGCAAAATGCAATGCAAAGCAGAGTGCAAAAAAACTTATGACTAAACATAATTTCCTAAATTTAACAATAATAACTATTATAACTTTGTAAAATGTATAAAATGAAATGTAATGATAAAAACTAAGCACATTATTTATTTAATCTCAAGAGTTATCTCTTTAGGTTTTAGCTAGTTATAGCTACATAGAGCGAATTTACTTATTCAGATTTGCAAACATAAGCAAGTTAAAATGTATATTTAATATTTTTTTGTTCGCTGCTAATCATCATCAGCATCATCTAGAGCTACTGAAATAGCTGTATTAATATATGCATTTTGTTAAAAAACATTAATTATTATTATAATTTTACAATCCTAATACTACAGGTACATTAGTCTCAGAAGTAGCCACACCGTAAACAACTGGATTTTGCCTTCATAAAGTACGTGTATTCCTGTAACAAAAAAAGACAGTATAAATATACATACGATATGTAACCTGACGGGTAGAATTGGAAAAAATATTCATTTTAAATGTTATTTTTATTATAATTTTAAAACCGATTACTATTAATGATCGATTGATAAAAATTTTAGTTTACAATAATGAATTAATATTATTATTATTAATACTAGCTGACCCCGCGAAGTCTCAGAATTAAATGAATTTTGAAGTTTAGTTACGCAATATATTTCGGAACTCACCCTATTTGACAGTTTGTATGGGAAAATTAAATCGTTGTTTTTAATATTCTCCATGCAATTTCTTTATATTATATCACTGTTTAAACCTTCCCTGGACTTCCACGAATATTTCAAGACTAAAATTAGCCAAATTGGTTCAGCCGTTCTCAAATTTTAGCCTAACGAACAGCAATTTATTTTTATATGTATAGATCTACGCTCTAGAGTTATGGCCGTTTAACTATACTTTAGATCTGAACGTTCCTGAAGTGAGTGAATTTGGTCTATTACTGTAATTTGGTATCTTTGGTGTATTGAATATATCTCGGAGTACAAAATACAGGCCACTGTTTTTTTTCTTTATACGGTTTCATAATCCAACACCATACGTATTAACAGTCGTGCCCGCGACTTCGCATGCGTGTAGGTACATTTGTAAATCGCCATCTTTTCATACATACACGCCAGACATAGCTATTTAATGAATTTATTAATAAAATTGAATGTTACGTATTGAAAATATACACAAAAATTTGTATTAGTTATAGGTATTTTTCAAACTTTCTTTAGCATAATATATACACTTTATTGATCTACATTTGTATTCGGTGTAACTTGGCCACGATTTGATAATTTTATATAATCATTATCACCTACCAGAAGAAAAACAGCTCCTAATAATAATCCTTTATGTTTGGGTAGAACGGTCGTGTTCGGAATTTGAAGGGTAGTCACGAAACTGTTCAAGTCTCGATCCCATCCGTGGGCGATCTTGCCCACCTCTCGAAGTGCATCACCTGACATAATCTGATGAAGGAAATAATATATTGTTTTAATTTTGTACTTATAGTGACATATCAATAGCAGTTTAACAGCTCGTCACGAAAGAGGAACTCGTCACGGGAAAGGGTGCCGAATCGCGACGCACGGCCATCCGGCATCCTTTCCCGTGAAATGAAATGATTATCATGAAATAAGCCGTCAGATGGTTTGACATCTCGATTTATAAACACTTTTTAATCTTATCCTAATAATAATATCATAAATAGTAACAAACATCCCTACTTTCGTTAGGGATGTTTTTTACTCTTTCACCCATAAACTACTGAACGGATTTTGATGAAATTTTATAATAATATAGCTTATGCATCAGAATAACACATAGGCTATACTTTAAATTTAAATTTATATACTGAAATTTGACGCAGGTAAAACCGCAGGCACAGCTAGTCAAAATATATGTTTTCTTTTCTTTTTATTCGATAGGTGGATTTAAAGTTACCTTGAATTCAGTCAACATTAGAGCGCTTCTGGTCATAGTGGCGGGTCCTTCGATCACGAACACGACGTCATCGTTGACGTCCCTTACCGCGTAGAATGGCACCCAATGACGCCGTTGTTGCACTCTGCCCACGTAGTCACCAGGTGGAGTTATTACTCTTATTTCCTTTAAAAAAGTAATAAAAGTAAAAAAAAATTGCCCTCATAGTTTGTACCTATCGGTCTAAAGAAGGATGTATACTAAAACAACAAAGACGCAGTAGTGTAATTTAGAGTAACTGGAGTAATACGTGTTTTTTGTAACATTCTTCCAGTTACTTTAAATTTAAAGCAATTAAATAGGTATTTCTTGTATCATTCAATTGCTCAGGAATATGCCAGAAGGATTAAGGAATAGTTTCTTCTATCTCTTTTACGTTTTAAATAAAAATCTGTGATTGTATGTTTTAGAATAAACAAAACAGTATGATTGAAAGTCTTTAAAAAAATCTCGTTTACTCAAGCAGTAGCAGTTCGTGAGAGAAAAGTCTGAAATCGGAATATACGTGACCATATAAGTTCCACAGAATTACCTATATAGATTAGATATTCCTTATCTTAATGCACGCAGGCAAATATTAGTAATTTATAAATACAGATACCTGTAATCTGCAAGGAGAACAACAAGAGGCAGCAGCCAGTCTCCTCTCAAGCACCAACGCTTCTTGCCTGGTGTTGTCGTGTAGATGCATCACAAAAGATCTGCCAGTACCGCATAGGCATCTTAATGATTTAGAAGAAGTCTCACTCGCTATATATAAAGCTTCACCATGAGGTACTCTGACGATGAAACGATTTTCTGATTCGATTTTAGAAGTTACTGAAAATTAGAATGAAAAAAATATTTTTTTAATATAGTAGTATCATACAATGAAATAAAATTATTATAATTTACAACGTGTAACATAATGCATTTATTAATGGACTGACAAATGATATATATACACTTACAATCATCTAGTTCAACAGTTTGTTGGATGAGTAGACTGGAAACTCCAATGAGGAAGTCTAGGCCGTGTACTGGAATGAACTGTCCTCGAGTATTGCTGGTGTGCCAGTCTAACGTAGACACTGGTAGCGCAGCTCGGTTTATGCCTAAATAATTACAGATTTAGAACAAATTACAAATATCTTCAAAAAAGTAATAGCAAATAGAGGCAGTGCCAACAATCGACGTTATATTGAACGCAATATTTGTCATATTAACAAATTCGCTGCGAAAAAATCCTGCTGAAGTTAACCTATCAGGAGGTTAACCTCACCCACTGTTATCTCTCGGATTATGATTTGCTATCGATTTTTACAATAGAGAAAGAAATTGTAACATGAATTCGACCAGATTCAAGCTCACGATCATAAAGGGTTAGAGGTCAGGATTATAAACTGCTGGGCCACGATAAAGGCCGATGTCGTAATATTGATGTTTAAAATCTAGTACTCACCGGCTTGAGGCTGGATATTTATAACTAAGTCTGGTTTAAGAGTAGAGCCATTATCTGAAACATAAAAATAAGCTATTTTAAGTTTTATGTTTACAATGTTTCTTAAACGTTGCATATTAACCATGTAGGCATGGTCCTACTACAATTTTTAGTAATCTTTAAAATTTTATACATCACCTAATTGTTGTAACTAACACCTAATTCATTTGAATTTATTTACATTTTGTTGTTTTATTTCATGTTTTATTTATTTACTTAAGGCAATTTTGCTGTTCGTATTCATATAAAACTATAAAAGAGCAACACGTAAGTTTCTTGCCCATTCTTGTGACTAGTCTGCGTTCCGAATGACTGATAGAATTAAAAAAATATGACTATTTATGCTTATATTAAGCTTATTTAGTTTAAATAAATTTATTACATTTTATTTTCTATTTAATTTTTTTTTCGTACGTTAAACGAAATAATAGAATAGAATAGAAAATCATTTATTCAAATAAACTTAATTTAAGCACTTTTGAATAGTCAAAAATTTTTTTTAAATCTACCGCTTATTCGGAAAGCTGTCTCATCACAAGAAGAATAAGCAAGAAACTTGTGTGTGCTCTTTTAAACAATCCTTGTAAGTTCACATTTTACAAGTCGAAACTGTTATTAATTACTGTTGAATCGCAGAGGGGGAAGTTATATAAGATTCGAAGAGAATCATCGTCCTACCTTTCACTGTAGTTTGCACTACTCTCTTCTTATCTTTGGTCTAGTAAATTAAATGATATTGAACAGCACAATATTATCTGATATGATTAATTGATATTGCGATAAACTGAGTACTAAATATGATGTTTTGGCTATGTTTTAGAATCTTTACATACAAACTGTTTGTATTGTTGCACAAGTACCTAATAATATGTAATATACATATAGTATAAAATACATGTAGATCAGTTAGCCCTTCGATATACACTATCTAGTATTATGAAAATAAAGAATATTGTGCAAAAACCTAAAACGTAGAACTCGTAAAATGGTTTAAAATTTGGGGTTATATCAAATTTTGGGACGAAACTGAGGATATACTCAGACACTGGTTATTATTATGTGTATCGAATACAGAAATTTTAAAGGCACTTGCATATATTATTATATCTTATTTGTGTATGTTTGTTTACTCATAATTTTTGATTTTTTTTTAATTGCTCTCAATTTCTCCACTTAATAAAATTTTATATTCATTTGAAAAGAGGAACAGATTTTGACTACTGTTATCATATGGATATGTCCATGTGAATTGAATTACATGGACGTACATTAAGATATAAGTACCTATTTAACTATTATAACAGATTTCTATGTCAAATCAATGTCAATCAACCATGTTATACCAAACTTTGTTATCGACATTTCAACCACCAAGCAGTTTGATGTATTTTTATTGATGAGTGAGATCTATCAGTTAAATTATATGGTACCGTGTAATATTTGCTTAGTATGGCAACAAAACAGTGTTATCATGTTGATCACCTGTGTGTGTAACCTTTTCACATATATAGACGATGGTTACTCATCATTAGTTATCCTTGCTTGTCAAACACAAATGATGAGCTAAGATTCCCGTTTCATAAAAAAATGTTACATAAATTCTGCCAAGTTTTTTTCAAAAAAGGTCAAGTCTTTAAGACCGCTAGACTACAAAAAAATATTTGATGTATCTTCTTTAAAGTAAATGACAAAACACCTTCATATACTTAAATTTGTAATATTAATAAGATAAATAATTTACCATTTGTTGCTCCCAAATTATCGATACCATGCCGTACTCCTATACCTTTTGAGTCTATATCCATTTCACTTTTTGTAACTTTAAATTCAGATAAATATAAAAACAATAGAAATTCTCATTAAAACTCTAATTGCATAAGTATGTAACAATCAATTTGAATTATATTTGCACAAATATAACAGCAATAAAGTTCTTTGTTGTTACAATATAACGTTACTGAGTTATCGACGTGTTTGAGCATACATGTCGACTTATCAGCAAAAGATATAATCATTACGAATTATCAGTGTCCAGTCGCCGATAGGCGTTATTTGGCTCGATAATTATAATCTTAATTTTAATACCTAAATTTCGACGCAGTCTTGTAACGATTACTATTAAGATTTCATTATATTAACCATAACCCATAAGTATACTATGCAAAAATACCGAATTTTATTGAAACAAGTTAACTATTGAGTTAACTCACTCTCAATTGTGAGAGTGATCGAAGATTTAAAAAAATAGATAATAATATCCTTGGAGAATTCACACAACGCAATCTGAGCAGAGCTTGTATAATGCGTACTAGACAGCTGATATAAATATTTAGATACATTGTTTTTGTAAATATGTACATAATATGCAAAGAAAACACCCACACCGATACAAATAATTATACTCATAAATACAAATATTTGTACAGTGCGAGGATTCGAACCGGCGACTTTCGGAAATAAAGCGAAGTGCTAAACTGTGCGAGACCGTTCTGACATAGTACATTGTTACACATTACCATCAATAAATCGTTACTCCAACTAGAACAGCGTGTTACACACTATATTCTGTGATGTCCCAGGGTTGTTCATGTCTATAGGCAGTGGTGTACTGTTTTCTTTCCGCGCCCAACCACAAATTAAATAATTTTATTAATTGATGAATTTATTCAATATTCTTATTGATTTAAAACAATGTACCTACTTTTGGTGTTATTATTCATAAAGTTATAATTTCATTTCATGATAGTTTTTAGCAGACAACCTGTCCGCCAACCTCTCTACAGCTCCCACGCTACGCTACTTTTTTTAGGGATAGGGACTTTATCTCTATCTTTAAGTGGATTGTTAAGGTGTCTATACTCCCCATACCTTTAATGTAAAATATAATAAGTCAGATAATCGCGAAAAAATATATTATACTTTCAGGTAAATTAACTCAGATGAGGTGGATAGAGGCATTATGGCGGATTACGGTAAATTTTTACATCCCCACGTGTTGCTGGTATATTTGGATACATTTATTGCTAAAGGGAAAATAATTGACATACACGATAATGAAAAACATTTATACTCATGTGTTAAGTAAGTACATTCTTGAACATTTTACGAATAAAGTGATAACATTCAAGTCGCTTAAAATATACGGTAATATACACCGTAATATATACGTTAAACATTCATTAATGTTCTATCTAAATTTCTTTCAAGTATTTAATTCCACTAACACTTGTTATATAATCAAGTACAATATGTAAAGTTTCTGGAATGGTGACAATAGCTACTGTCGGTTTCCGGAGTACATTGGACACCATTTGAAGCCAAATTGGACCGGAAGACTTAGATGATAGAGTGCTAAACAATCACTCTTACATAAGATAATTTTTATGACTAGATTTTACAGTTTGTAAACCGAATTTTATTATTTTATTGTCCTAGTATAGTCTAAAGTGCCGCTCTAGTGCTAGTACGCGCTTTGCAATATGTTCACCATGAGTTTGATACGTTTGTTTATGGACCATACGACTGACTTAACAGATCTGTCGAAGCAATACAAAAGCACATCATTCCTTATAATAACAACGTACGTAGTTAATTTAGTAGTCATATTATTTCAAAGTATAAGAAAATATAGATATTAAATATATATACTTAATAAGTATAAAATGATTATCGAATTTTAAGGACAATATTTTTGATTTAATATTTTATACACTTGGTATAAATTGTTTTTTATTCTTTCCATATTAAAATTTTAAATAACATTTATTACACATAAATGTGAATAGTTTCCAATACTTACGTCAATATACTTAAATACAATATAAATCAATTATATATATACTTAACAACGATAAAATACCATCTCATTAGCTACACCCATAAACATTTCTCACAATAAATTTCAACATCTAGTCCTGTCCCCATATAAAATACTGAATCAGAAATACGACTGCAAAAACATATAGCAAAAGTTCGTACAACGCTTAATACAATATAATTATAATATTCAAATTACATTTAACAATGAAAGCTTAGCAGTTTCGCGTGTAAAACACGCTAGCAAATATAACTATTGAGATCAACTTGTGAAAACCTTAAATCTATAATATCCCTACGCGTCTATGGCTGGTTAGACCCGTACGAATATAATGAAACACAACGTTAACTATATAAGAAGTATATAAGTTATAAACTAATGCCGAAATAAAATTTCCAAAGTGACGATTAGCAAAATTACTATTAAAACTTTATATGACAAATAAGTAACTTAGTTACTCATGCAAACAGTGAAATGCCATCAATGTACGTAACTCGAACAAACCGAATCACGTTCGGGCCCGATAAGCCTAAAGAGTGTCATTTATGACAATGCGCCGCAGACTTCCACCCAGCATGGTTTTAATATTTTCTGGATAAATCGATTTCGTGATCATTTATAATTTATCGTTTGAGGGCGCGTTGCCAACCACTATTTAGCTTCAATGTGGCTGGTAGACAAGGACTGGCTTCACACTCTCCATCTAGTTCATCAGCTAAACTGTCGTGCAATTCTCGTAATGCCATAATTGCCGATCGAGCTGCTCTTTGGCAATCCATATCACCTTCACATATGGTATCCGCTTCCGATATAAAGACTAAGTCACACGTTGTTGGTGGCGCCTCTCCCTGTTAATGATACCAAAAAATTACATACTGTTATATTCTAGTGCATGTTTAAGTTTTTTATGAATCTATAGGAGACTAATTAGCAACTAATTCCTATTATTTTATATTGATATACTGTAGAGTTCCACATAGGTATAGACATATTATGTAATATTAGATTTTTGACATAGCCCACTTCTCAAACAGAAATAATAGTGCAAATTTGAAACGATTACTTACACACAGGTAACAAATTTGATGTAAGCTACACAAAGGAAGAAATAGCTGTCCGCGATCACCAGCTAGTAAATCTACTCCACGGCATCTGTTTATAATCTTTGCAAGGACCGGGCAAGAGCCAGCAGCGCTCACTGAAAAAAAAAGGTTCATCAATACTCATTTTTTATACTACAGTAAATTATATATAATAAATAAAATAATTAAAGTAAGGGCATTTACCTGTAGTAATTACCGGACTTCTATGTCTGCCACTACCACCCATATAGCCTTCAGAGAATTGTTCTTCAATTTTTCCATTTAAGTAATGTCCAGCCCCTTGTTCATTTTCAAAATCATCATTTAATTCCAAATTTTTATTAAACGGTGGAATTTCGTTGCTTTTAATATCTACTTTTTCCTTTTTCACAGCTACTCTTTTGGACTTTACTTCATCTATCGGACCGGGAGAAGACGTCAATACAGATTCAGGTTTTGGAGTTTGCAAGCTTTGTTTGAACTCTTTTAAGGCTTTCCTCATTTTTTCCAAACTATAAGCAGCTGCAAGCCGTGATAACAATTTTTCTTTCATTTCCTGTTCTTCTTTTGAGTCTAGTTCCTCACCCGCATTCGAATAATGTAATGCTTCATCAACAATAAGACCTTCCATAGACTTTAACTTTCTATCAATATTATCCAATTTCGCGTCGTTGTCAGAAATTCTAGTCCTTTTATTGTCATCACGAACTGCAATAGCTTGCGAATTATCTAATTGAATATCGGTTCCTTCATTTGGTTTTATTTGCACGTAATTTCTTTTCACGTTACTATGTTCCCTATACGTATTTAAAGGATAAATAACTTCTTTGTTAAAGGTATCGAAATATTGTTTCCTCAGTTTGTCTTGAGTTAAATCATTTACAAAAGGGATTGAATTCTTATTACGTTTGTCTATCCCAAAATAATCTGACCAATCAATAGATTTCTTTTTAATAGTTATAGGTTTTTCTTTCTCATCCTGACTATGGTGATGTACATGTTCTTCTTCCTTACCCGTCATTCCAGGATGATGTATATTATGCCCATGATGTTCATGACTATCGTCATCATGATCTGTAATATTATGATGCTCATGAGTAGAGTTTTGATTTGATAAAGTTAAAATTGGCGGCTTTACTTCATGTGAACTTTGCTCATGTTCACTGCTACGTTTTACGGGATTTTTTATAATATCTGATTCAGGTTCCCCAAATATTCTAGATAAATCTTTTATGATTTTTGGATCAGTTCCAGAATTACTTCGGAATGATTTTTTTTTATTTGCAGCAAATCTTTTTTTAGGCAAATTATAGTTATCGGAACCACTACTACGTTTTGTTACAGGAAATCGTTTTTCAATAGGCCCATAAGAATACTGATCGTCATCAGCCAAATCTGACAACGTATCATCATCCAATGGTTGGAAAGCAATTGCATATTCTTCTCTTAGATCATCCTTATCGTTATCGGTCAACTCATAACTGTTATAATTAGGATCTGTTGAAATCTCAGAATGCTTTCTGTCTAAATCAAATTCAGATGAATTGGGGCGATCAACATCAGAATCTGAACTTCGCTTTCTCTTAAAAGCTATCGGACCCCAACTATCAGGATATCGTTTCTTCACAATTTTTTCTTTATATAACTTTACTATTCCCTGTGGAGCAGATTCAACATTGTTAGAGTGTTCTTTGTTATATTTATATTTTGACCAAAGTTGTCCCAAAAGTAATGCGTATTCTGCATCATTTTCAGACTTTTCTTGAGCCTCCTTTTTATCTTCCATTTCATTCTTATCAACAAATAAATCCCGGAGTCGCTCGTTATCTGAGTGATGGCTTCTCTCACGGAAAGCTGACTCTTTTTTGATGGTATCAGGATGAACATTTTTCTTTTTAATTAATTTGTATTCATACGTTTCAGCAGGTTTTTCATTATCTTCTAATAGTTTGATAATATATTTTGGATTAGGCTCCTCTTCAATATCTTCGACATCTACGCCGTAGTCTGAATCTGTAATAAGTTAATAGAAATACTTTTATTTGTTGCTATCATTTAAGAATGCAAATAATCGAAACAAAATTGGCAGTGTACCTAGCAAATTTATTTTTAGTTACCTGGATATCCCTGAGGTGGTACAAATTCATAGATGGGAGCATCGTAATCAGGCAGTGGTGCGAGGGGTACATGCATACGACCCCGTTGCCGCCGCTGCAGAGCCTCCAGTGCGCCCCGTAAGGACGAGCCCCCACGGTCGGCGCTTACACACACCACTGCACATGCGGCTATTGTCCATAGCCACCTCCCGCTCATGACTTCGATCACTGTAAAATATCGCATTATTAATATTATTATTTTGTCGTTATTTCTATAAATTAGTAGGGTTTATAATATCTCTTGCGAAATATTACGAAAACAATCCCGTGGTCTTCGTAATATTTCGCAAGCGTTTGTTCAATGAGTAGAAATACCAGAGTGTTGTGCAGTTGGTAAAAATTATTTAGTTTTTCACCTCGTTACTAGATGGAGTTAATAATATTAGGTTAGAAATAAAATATTATATAACTAATGTACCTGTAAAGATTGTGTCTATGAAAAATGAAATAGTATTTATATTTGGGATATATCTAACCCTTTTTTTATTAAAATTGTTAATCTAATTATTTATGTAACAAAAGTATTATAAAACGATTATCTGAAAAGCGAATAATCTGTTGAATGCTTATATAAGTGATATCGGATGTATATGTACAGAAAATTCCGTATCTACCTGTTTATCGGCGTCAATTTAAGACGCAAAACAACAAGCAATAAGGAAAATTTTATGAGTCATCAAGCAATACCTCCTCCCCTTTACTACGTATCATGTAACCTAAGTACATAACTTGTCTCAAGACGATCGCAAAAACCAAACAACATTTCCCAAGGGTAGTCAGGTCCTATCCATTCCGATGGCGCCAACAATTTCCACTAACGTGCCGAAAATATGAATGGATAGTCGACGTTATGACAATATGATAACTTAATAACGCACAGTCTAACATTTTATTTTATGGGTCACAGTGGACATTGGCCGAATAAAGTTGCGTTTTGCAGGAGTATTATAAACAAATTTGATATAATGTCTATCGTATTAGTGCTAAGTATTACTGTTCTGTTTCCACTTAATTCGGGTAATTCAATATATGTAGACAAAATATTGCTTGACCCACTCGGTATTTTTCAAAACATGTATGTACAAGTGGGTACCGTAACTCAGAAGGACCCACCTGTATTTTTTCCACATATTTCTTGGTGGAGATTATTGTACAGTATGTTGAAAATCTCTAGAACATACGGTTGTGCAGATATTTTGGATTATCAAGGTATTATATTTTCGCCCCTGTGACTTGAAATTACGTAACAATTATGTATATCATGTATGTTCTGAATTGTCTAGGTATCCTTTTGGTTTTAATCTATATAGAAGACTTACTTATGAGCAAATTTTTGTAAAGAAAATTCTTTTTCCACATCTTTATTCCTTCATTTCACGGGTTTCATTTATCATTAATATTGCGTCTAAAAGTGTTATTTTATATATTTTCGTGATAGAAATGTTACTTCTTTATTCGGCTATTTCCATTTTTGTACTAATACAGAAATGCGAAAACTTTTTTAATTCCTTCCAGCTTTAGTGGTGATAGTATAAATTAACAGTGGATTTAAATTAAAATATGTAGTTTAAAAACTTAAGTATTACATATTAAAATTAAGCGACATAAAAGGATCACATTTATTATAGAACTGGTGAAGGTAAAGAGTCAAACGAAAGAGAATATTGAAGTTGCTTGCAAATAATATTGTACGTATGTAAATAATATTCATATAATTTCATAAAAATGAGATCTATGAAAATCATAGATCTCATTATCTATGATTTTCATACATTGTTATCTTATATTTGTTGTCTACAAACAAAGCATTCTACCCCTCCATAGCAATAACGGGCAATAGCTGAGTGTATCTATTTATTTTCCCGTCTTTTGTATAATAAAGTCCCCCAAGCAATAAAACCCAGAATCTCCGAATTAAGCAGTCTCCGAGGTGGTCTAATATACTGAATATTTATATACTCCCTGTAATAAAGAATGAGTGAGCATTTAGTTCACTAACCCTAATTTCGAATGATATAATGCTACTGAAACATTTTAAGGGTTGCCTTAAAAATAAAGGAGCAAAATATATTGCTTACATGACCATTTGATTAACGGAATACAGTGCAGAACACATTTTTAATTATATTAATTGGATAACTTTTCTAAAAATTTAATAGTTATTAGTTTATTAATATACTTAGTTCTATTTTATACATTTTATATTCTTATCTAATTGGAATAGCAAATAAGCTAACGGTCCACCTGATGCTAAGTCACCCACACACAAGAAGAGCACCACGGACATATGTCATGTGTCGTAGCCAGTAATCAAGCTACTTGGCGGTGCTGAAATATATAAATGAGGCTGAGTACTAGTTTTTAGAAAGTATACCTCGGTTGACAAATAGGTACTGTGAACGGGAGGTCAGTTGGTCAGTACTACGTGGGCTGGTGCTGGGAGGAAGCCAGTCTAATTGCTTGCCACCAGATATGTCGTAGCGTAAAGCAATCATATACTGTAAAATAATGTTAAATATATCATGTACTGTGGACGTCCTTTTATATGGATTTTACTGGCAAGCAAGCTTTTTAGGCTTAATAATAACTTATTTAATCATTGATTTTTTTTTCTCTTTATTTTGGAACTTGAGAATCACAATAGTGAGCATGTTGGCTCCGTCTTCTTAATTATTTATACACAAAGATATTTTATATTTACATTAGGTATATCTAAAATTTAATTTACTCTAAAGACAAATATTACCGATTTAAAATTTTATCTACAAATTATTGATACAGGTTCCGATAAAATACCCTGAAAAATTTTGTTTAAATTTATTTCTTTTAGCAAGATTGTTTTTCAGTTCATTTTTGACACATTCTTTACTTTTTTCATCAGGTACCCAAATTTGCTTACTGGAATGTGCCCTGTAATTGCTATGACATTTAATAATTGATGACTTTGTCAATTTTATATTGGTTGGCCCAATATACTTTTCAAACTGTGAAAGAATTTTTCAACTCGGTGCAGTACTTTTGGATTTTACTGTCCCCATGGCAAATTCCGGTCTTTCTCTCTCTCCTATAATAATTGCTGTTACTTGCGACTTTGTCTGGTATTACATAAAGTTTGACCCCTTTCCCTACATTGTTTTTCAAAATAACGGATAGCTCATGACCATCTTGTTCAGTCTTTGTACAAGGCAAATTTAATTAAAATCCGTTCAGCCATTAAGTAACAAAAATACAGATATACACTTTCTAATTTATATTTTTATTATAAAGTAGTAGAAAGTGCGAGTGTACCTACGATTATTTATGGCACTATAGTTGTATGGAATGTAAGCAATAAAATGAGGATAATATAATGTCAAAAAAAGCTTTTCATGTGATTATTGTATGGCATACGAGCGTCATGTTCTTATATACACAATAAGTCCCTTTTACGCATTATATCGTAACATGAAAGCTTTTCGTATTCCCAGGATATTTTCGTCGACTCGAACTCGACATATTTTATATATTTTTCTACATTTTACTTCAGTTGTGATCGTTCTTTGTCAATCTACTATACACTTGTTAGTGTATTGTATATTATAAAAGTCTGGAGAGTCTATCTCTCTCTTTGCTTTCATTTAATCTATACTTTCTAATATATTTTTTTCTACTTGTTCTTTGCTGTTGTAGGTGTCATATGTTAATATTATGAAAAAAGCCCCTGAAGTGTATAATTATTCTTATATTATAATGTAATAATAAAGCAGTCTTAGTCCTTTAAGTTAAACAGATAAAAGTGGAGTCATATTCAGTAAAGTCCTATTTTACTAAGTCGTTTGCTAAATAAACTAAAAAAGGCATACAGCGACCAAAAATAGAACCTGCTTCTTTTTATAACTTGGTTAAAAAATTAAGATTTCGTGTAGGGACTTATTTTTGTTAATACTTTGTAAACAACCTGTACCGTCAGCCGTTTTCATATCAATCGTAGTGACACGACTTTATTGGACTGTAAAATTTATGTTTACCAATAATTTATACAGGAGATCAATCGGTATTTATAGAAAGTTATGAATTGTGCAGGCTATAATAAATATTTATAAATTACAAGTAGATGGGTCGATGCTGTGGTGAATAACATTTGTTTTATTACTCTTTAACATAAAAGGTCATTGATAAAATTTATGTTTTGTTGATATTACGACTCTTCATTCAGCTACTTATAAAATATAATATAGGTATATGTTAAAAATACATCCATTATTTTTCAACCAGAACGACAATTTTCATTGGCGTTTACACAAGCGTGCTCTGTAGACTAAATTAGAAAATGAAAATGATGTAAAATTAGAAACAGTAACTTATTTTACAAATCTATCGCGTATTAGGTGATATTGTATTCCTTTTTTAAAAATAATTAGGTGCTCTTACCTTAAAACATTGAGCACGCCAAAACAAAACAACGTTGAGTAATGAAGCGTTCGATCACTGTCAGGGAGCGAAAACAACTGGGATAAATGAACGTTAGGACAATGCGCGGACCCTTGCGCAATAGGTTCCACCGACCAGAGACTAGGGTTCGAACGGGAGCTTTCCAGAACCTGGCAACTACGGAACCTGACTTATGAATGATATAGCCGCCTGTGAAAGGTATCTCGCGTTATGGGAGGGGTGAGAGAGGTGGTGCGCGGGAACGTTATATAACGGAACGATCGATACGCAGGGCGGCACTGAAACCCGTCTGGGCTGTGTACATAATGTTCTATGGGCGGCTAATAGTTCGTTCTATGTGTTTACATTTATTGTAATGCAATACACATATCGTTCGATAACCATTTAGCCGCTGTTAAGGGAATAAGAATGTTTGTTATTTTCGTGAGAGACATTTTGATTAAGTACTTGATTCGAGATGAATGTTTTCAAGTAATAGGTGTAATCAAACTAGTAACTATATAAGAGATTTTTTGTAATGCGCATAGCAATATGGAAATTTTAGAAATTTATTTTCTAATCAAATTTCATTGAAGCGTCAAACCATTCATACTATAATATCGTTAGTTAAATTTAAAAATAAAATCTAAAAGGTTTTACATCGCCATAATGACACAATAGAATGGCGACTTCTATTCATTATTACCATTAAAGAGTTTGTTATTGAATTATATCAGCCAACAATACTATAATAGGTAAAGAATTCCGCTGATCATCAAACAATATAATAAACATAGTTACAAAAGCAAACAATGGGAATACAACTCAGAGTTTGTACAAAATTGTCTGCGTTGGTATCTTTGTTTCATCTATTTCAATAGCCAAAACATTTGTTTTCTAATTTCAGTTCGGTTAGGCTCAAGATAAAGGCACGACAGCGAAACTACAAGGTACGAAGACACTCCGGAATACCAACACATGAAGGATACCATAGGGTTGCCATGATGAGGTTTTGACTCTGATGTTTGCCACTTACCACCCTATCCTGACCCGAGGGCTGTCAGTTTGTTTGTCATTCTATTTACAAAAAAACCAAAAGTATGTAATTTACTAGAAGTGTATATATCATAAATTACCAGCGACGAGCGAGAAAAACTTCAGTTGCTGATAATGTAGTTTTCTACAAAATATTTTTTTATTTCAGTTAAGTATTTTTGGTGTTTATTCATTACATACAAAAATTGAATTGTTTGTAATATTTTTATGTACTATTTTTCTTTACCAATGTGAACAAGCCTTAGCCAGTAGGTAGTATATAAAACCCCTCATTCTTTTGCCGGGGCATTTAATTGGAGACAAGCCCGTCGTCGCAAATATATTTCAATTAATACGTGCATACCATCGGCCAGTCTTGAGAGTTATTCTGCCCGATTATGGTCCAGGGCTAGAATATTACTTGCAGCCCTTCTCGGTCTCACACTACGGACGTCTTTAGATTATTGAACTGTCGTATATAATTATTTATCTTAGTCATGATCCTTATACGGAATACAGAACGAACCGAAAACTAAAAGTCTGCGCTTACTTGTAAATGCAATAGTGAAATGAGAGTTTGAACTCTTTTACTTACTTATTTCTTTGAAACTACTGCGTGGAGGGACGACATAGTATATAAGTACTTTTCCCAAATCAATGTTATTTTCCTCTGTACATATATTTTTATATATTTTAGCGATAACTGGGCGGATTTCGATAATAATCGGTTTTCTATGTATAATTAATGTCATATTAAAAGAAAGAAATGTATTTAAGTATTAATATCAGTCTATTTATGTCTAGTACCCATAACACATGCTTCGCTTAACTTGGGTCTATGCGCTGTATGAATTGTCCAAGGTTGTTACTATTATTATCTAGAAGTATTTTTTCCAAATCGCTATGTTGTACATGTTTAGAGCAAAATGTTATATGCTCTGAACATGTGTTTCTCTTGATTTTGCGTTAACTGATCGGATTTCAATCAATCTTTTTACAATCGACATTGTTATTATTTATATCTATTAATTGTTATTTCTTTTCAATATATAATAAAAAAAACGTACAAAATTGTGCGGATAGAGCAGTAGTAAATTTCGCGCATATATAGTGTATATAGAGAAAAAGTGCAGAATGCTAATATTCCTGTTAACTTATGCATACATTGAATACATTAAATCGATAAAAAAACATTACATACACTACCGAGACGTATTTGACTCACAGATGCGTATATACTCTTTTGCTTGTTATTGCTGGTTCAAAGATCTTTCCGTATTTTTCATTATAGTCGAGTTTCGACAACAGGCCGACCTCTAGTATATATTAATGTACGTTCTACATGGTTTTCAATTTATAATCGTGTGGATGTGGGTGGAAAATGTGGCAACTATGTAGCTATCTGCATAAATGTCTACCGCACACCATGAACGTTTGAAACCGCAGTGTTATCACTTGCGCATCACTGCATCCAATCAATGCCCTGTTGCCTGCCCTTTATGCCCTATAAATTGCAGCACAGTATGCAAGTAGCTGTGTTGCAGAAATAATATTGTGAAGTAGAAGTTACAGGGGAATAACTATGACGATAGTTTCTGTTGCTCATGGCAAGTTTTTAAGTAATTTGTTTATATAATTGTTTATGATGTGACAGTTATAAGCAGTGGCTATTTTTTAATTTAAATTGATTTTCTGTTAGTTTTTGTGATACTGAAAAAAATAGTAATAATATCAAATCGCCAAACATTCCAAACAAAGCAGTAGTTTGTGTTATGGGTACTAGACAACAGATATAAATACATAGATAATTTTTTTTTAAATACATGCACAATATACAATAAAAAAAATCGAGACCGATACCAACAATCATAATCACGAATACAAATCTTTGTTCCGTACGAAGAATCGATTCTGCGATTTTCGGAATTAAGGCAATGTGCTAAAATGCTAAACCACTGAGATCGTCGATTTTAAACCCAAATTAGTTTTTGTGCAATCTTCTTTTGGTAGTCTTCGAATCTTTAAAATTCACAGATTTTTGTGAAAAAGTTAGGGATATTTTATAATCATTCATTCATACCATTACATGTCATTATTCAGGATTGTATGAGGAAAACCACGAAAGTTCCAATATATGTTTTTTGTGATATACGTACAGATAATATATCTAAGAGACGGTGACTGACAATTCCATTAAATTAATAGTATTTTGATTAGTAGATACAGACAAATACATTAAAAATATATAAAATTTTGATATCCAAATCAATGTCTATTTTTAATTTACGTTTATTAACTATTACGATTTACTCTTTCGTTGAATGGATGTTAATAAACCCATACCATTATTTGAATGCGGTTTCAGTGGTGTTCCAATTACGTCGCATATTAATTAGTCTACAAAGAGCACCCACATATATTTGATACCTCTCTCATAGAATGTAATATATACATATGTGTGTGACAGGTGTAAAGTACTTTTATATAGTACTAGCTATCCGCCCCGGCTTCGTACAAGTGTACATGTATTATATATACTTTCCTCTTGAATCACTCTATCTATTGACAGCAATGTAGATTTTGTGGTATGAATATTGAACTGATATAAATAAATTTAACATACATAGATACAGTTGTTTTAATAATATACATATGTGGAAAACGCTCAGACTAATATAAGCAATAATACTCATGAATAAAATATTTGTACCGTGCGAGGAATCGAGCCCGCGACCACGAGAGGGAAAGCAGTGTCTACTATACATATTTATTGAATATAAAAATACCAAATTAGTCAGGTGAAAGTAAGGTGACTCACAACAATAAGGTAACCATAATTACTTCAATAACGTTGCGTGTAAGCTTGTAGAAAATATAAATTCTTATATAACTACATAATTACTTCAGGGCTTTCCGCCGAGTCTTTCATCTTTCAAAGCAGAATTTATTTTGTTTAATAACAGTATACATCGCTCAAGGTAAAGTTAATATTATTCTAATTATGAAACTTATGTCTTTTATCCTATCTTCTTATCTAATTTTTGTATATTGTTTGTGTTGTGTTTGTAAATGTTTACTGCATAAATTTTACTTTATTTAAATTTATTTATATAAATAAATAAGGTAGTAAGGTAACTTATTTTGGATCCAATAGTTTCGTAAATAAGTTAGATAATCTTATAATAATAAATATCATATAATATTAGATATATAGTCATAGGTATGATTACGTTTTGCCTGATGTTGCTAAATATTTGTACTTAATATAACAGCACTCTCATGTATTTTTCACTTGAATTTTAGATTTTAATTCTTCCATAATAATATTGTCTGGATTAAGTGGCTTTGAACGTATTATAAAATTCATAAACATATAGCTAATTCTTCTGTAAGGGATCAATAAAAAACGCATCAAATTTTGATATTATTTATTTGATATTGACAAATACAATACATCAGTATTAACAATGTAACTGTACATTGTCATCGTATACTTAACTAATTACTTATATATTAATTAATTATCTGTAATACTAAATACTAACAATATACTTTATGTGTAAAGTTAATTTAATTTGAAATAAATTCTTCGACTTAATTGGAATAACGATAGAAAGTGTAATAAGGCAAATATTTATATTATAATAGTCGAATAGTTAAAAAATTAAAAAAATAATATGAATATATTTTGGCCTATTAATCACAACTTTATATTTTTCATGGTAACACAACAGCTTAAGTGTCATATTATAATAATAAGAAGTGAGTTATCCATCAAATTGCATTAAGTTAGTAAATCGTATACTTTATATAAGTATAGCGTTACGATAAATATGCATGATATCAGCATTAGTACACTACAAGAAATTCTTCTACAACCAGTTAAATACAATTGGATTCAAAGTTTTATAAATAATCTAACAGTAAATATATATTCATATATATTTATAGCTCAATAACAAGTTCTGAAGTATTGTACCGGTGCTCACAGAAAAAAAAATGGGCTACAATTTTTTGTTACTTAATATTACAGTAATTATATAACACCCTTAAAATATCAATGGCATGACAGATCCTCAATTAATAAACGAACGTGTAACTAAAATTAGTATTATAGTCAAACACCTTTTGTATCAATTATGACAATAATAAATATCAACAATATTATTATTAATATAAATCATAAGATTACGTATATAAGAGATGACATAAAAGGTAATCTATATACTAATTTGCTCGATGCAATAACTATAACAATGGCACGTGTGTGACTACAATAAATATATCACTTCCTTTTACATAAATCTCCGCATTACAACATAAATTCAATTCCTGAATAGTTCTAAACAAACCGTTAACATATTATATTAAAGAAATATGGAAACTTGCGTTGTGTCATGATTTCTGAGTATCCGATATTTCTGTAGAATGGTTAGATTGTATAACCGATGTATTTGTTTTTTTTAGATATAATTTGTTGTCACTAACCTCCACTTTGTTCAACTCTCATCTTGTCAATCAACAAAAAATGCAATTGATAAGTGACTTATATGGTATAAATGTTTCGCTTTGTTTCGAAAAGACTAGGAATTCAAAACTAAAACGTGACGAGATCCCGTTTTTCTTTAATATTTCATGTTAATAAAACTGTGTTAAATTTAAAATAGTAAACAGTTAACAATTTAACTTTAGCTTAACGAAAATACGATACAAAAGAAAAACAAACTAGTAATCTGTATCAGGGTCTTCGGTATCGGCTAATTTGACTAGCCCTATGAAACTTTTCTCTGGTTCCATTATAGAATGTCTCTGGCCCGATGTATTCCTAACTGCAAGCCTGTCGCCGGCTCTCAGGAATAGAGCTGCAGCTGAGAAGCAAGTATTGGCTTTTTCCAAAGCCTCGACCGAGTGAGAGGACTGAGTGCATTGAAGGAGAGTATCACGCCCTTCCATTTCAGCATTTGTACGATGTAGTACCCACGAGACTATGTCATGGCTGTCTAAGTAATAAATCTGTAAAATAAAAGACAACAAATATTGAACAGCTCGATTAAAACCTTTTTTCAGATGATAGCCTAATTCTTGACTTTGGTTATAGACTCTTAAACATCGTGACACAATCCTTAGGAACCGAGCAAATAGAAAAAAGTCAGAATGTAAGTTAAGGGAAGTAATAATGCAGGCGATATGCCGCGGGCTCTGGAGACGACGTTCCCTTTAAATTAAACGGCGAACCTCTCGTAGTTTAATTTGATAGAGCACATACAAGAACTCCTAGTAGGTATATATTTATGTATAATAATATAAATTATATTAATAGCGGTTATATAAACTTTAAATAGGTCTGTGTATTCATATAATTAACTAATTCGGTACACATAAATATATTTGAAATAGTTTATATATGAATTCATCAATTTCAATGTAAACTGTAATTACGATGAAGTAATAAATTCGTAAGTTCAAAATCATAGTAGTGTGTTAAATTCATAAAGTTACATAATAGATTGAAAGTTATACGTAGCCTATGTAATTTCTCTTAAATTATTCTATTAAATTTTATATTACCTTAAAGAAACATTGTATATTATAAGAAATGTAATATGTAATTATAAAAGACAAAAAAAAGAGAATTTATTCAGTATAGACAAACGTTGAAAATCTTTACTTTTTCATTGAATTAGAAAAGTAAAACACAATCGCATTCCGAATTTTTATAAAATTACTAACAAATGATGACAATCAAGGTCAGGGTCCGCTTGTTTATATTTGCATTATAGGGACGCCTATCAGCATACTTATCATGTTTACATTACCTACATTAGTGATAACATTGTTCGCTGGAAAATATTTGAGCCTGGGGACCTATTCTGAAATTACAAATCCCAATATTCGGATAAGAACGATACAGAACCTGACATCATGACATCATGTGGAGCCCAGGCACACCTTAATTATCAAAATAACTAAGGTATCATCGAACATAGCATATCACGATTCCAAAGGGATACAGCTTTCAAAGCTGCTTGTTTTGGGTGAGACAGGCTATTATCCACGCAGATAAAAGGACAGTGAAATTACAGGACAGAAAAGACAGACAAGAGACATGACATTTTAATCATAACCAACGTAATATCCGTAGTGCTATTCATGGAAAAAGGCGGCGGTTACGGCTTAGCATCAAGCGGATCGTCACTTAGTTTGGTATTATCTTTACATAGTATAAAACAAAGTCGCCGAAGTTGTCTGTTCATTTATACCTTTTAAATTATGCAATTGATTTTAATGTAGTTTTCACCAATATATAGAGTAATGTTCAAGGAAGACCAAGAGGAAGGTTTATATGTATAATACATGCGTGTTATAGTATAGAACAAGAAGACGATTCGCTAGTAATTATAAAAAAACTAGCTACTCGCCCCAACTTCGCATGGATGCACTACAAAGCTTTGAATTTTCTAAATCTAACAATCTACAAATCTTTGATTTTTCTAAATATATAAACCTTCCTCTTAAATTATTCTATTATTTACTATTAAAAAAAACCGCTTCAAAATCCGTTGCGTAGTTTTAAAGATTTAAGCATACATAGGGACAGGCAGCGACAGCGACAGCGACTTTGTTTTATACTATGTTAATAATGATAATGATGATGTCAACTTTGTGCAAAATCTACTTTGATAAATGCTCAATACGTGCACTAAATGTCTACGTTAGTCTAGTTATATACTTACTTGAACATAAACAAGATAGACCCCAGTGTGGTGTACATGGATATGGCCGTTTCTGGTAAGAGTCGGCCGGGAGTGTCGTGAGGCCTGCGTCCAAGGAGATGGATACCAAACGTTATGGTGAGCACCATGATCAACGCGAATTAGTCCGTTGCCTATAAAAAAAACAAAAATATTATTTATTTAGTCATCAATAAGTCAATTCTGCAGTATCTCTTTAAAATGTAGCAGATTCAACCAAATATGGAAGAAAGAAATAGTCATCCTGATTTTATAAAATAATTGGACCGACGGTCAACACTGTGCTTCATCTTTCGTCTTCATAATCAGACAAAAGCATTGTCTAATGAAAAATAGATGGACGTAAAAATTTTATTATTATATTATAGTTACGTCACGTTATACGTTTTCAGATAAATATTTTATAACTTAAAAGCTTAAGTCATATAAATATTGTATGTTTGTCATATAATTATTTTATCTATTACAGTTATATATCAACTTTGATATTTCAATTAAACATTGTACATACAATTAGGTTTATGATATTATTTAGATATAAACAAGAAACTAAAATCGGAAGTTTCAAATTGGGAAAGTTTTGTTGATTTCTCGAGATAGCAATATTATTTTTAAATTCAAAATAAATTAAAAATATAAACTCAAATTTAGTTGTTTTTCGAGGTTTACGCAATCCTATGCATAGATAATACAGGAAAACAATTTTATTAACAAAAAATAAAGGTAAAGCAAACGCCCCCGACGACCCCGGGAGCTCTGAAATCTTTACTTATTATAATGATAATTATTTAAAAAAAGTGTTTAATGGATTTCAGAGGAGGAGGTAATTAATGAGGTCAGACGATTTTACATTAGGTCTCTGGTTTTATAGTTACGTTAAAGGTTGTAGTTTATCAATTAGTCAATTAGACTATCCAAAATAAAAGTAATGAATCTTTAAAACTACTAGTTTCAAGTGAGACGTCGTCATTGATTTATATTAAAATAATTGACTGATTTATCAGTACATACAGCTTTTAGGCTATAATTGAATAAAATAGGCTGGACTGCCTCCACTGATTTTAAGACATATTAGTCACGATTTATATTTTTATATGTACAACAGGTTATATTTGAGACAAATAGAGATGATTATTATTAAGTACTCGTGAATATTGTAGTCAGAGGGCTTACCTTTGTAATGTTCGTGGATTTCCATATTAAGATGCGAGGTGTTGCCATGGAAATGAGCTGCGACGAATGGCCGTCTCTGTCCTTCCTGCAAACATGATTTATATATTAGAGTCATTTACACATTGTTGTAGACTAATGAGTATACGTAGATATGATTTTGGCATTGATTATACAAATGCATTCTGCGAGTTATGTATATTAACATTATAAAAAAATATATTGCCTGTTTGTTTGCATTGAAGAAGTTTCAAAAAAACTGGAGCTATTTGAAAAATTATTTTGCCCTTAAAACCACATTTATTATCGTTAGAAATCCGTATGAAAATTCGATAATGTAACTTAACGTGTGAAAATATACAAATTTTTGTTAAATACCCATGTTGTAATGTTATGTTATGTTATCAGTGCCCATGTGAGCCGAGGCGGGCTGTTAGTCATTTTATACTGCGTGTACTCGTGATACAATCGAATTTTTTCCTTCAGATTCATTTAGTCGTAAAAAAAGTAATGAACATCTAGATAGACACATTTCCGCACTTATAAAATTACTAAGTTAAACAAACTAAATAAGTAAATACAATGTATATTAACCGGATAAACGAAAGCTATTTAAAACATTACAGTTATAGCACTTTGAAATTAAATTTAAAGAATAACAAAATACTACTTCTCTTTATTGAGAGCTATAGCTATTGCTAATAATGTTTGAAATTATACCTATGTACCTCGGTACAGGTAGATAGCGAGATCATAAGTAAATTTTCGTCGAAGTGTTCGTATACCAATTTTATCACAACTGGCGTCGGTAATTTTTTAATAAATTCATAAATTATATTATGTTTCGTAATTTACGAGCCTATACATTTTAATATCTCTGTGCAAAATCTGTAACGCGAAATCGACTGGAAATGTTCACTGTTCAGTGACTGTGTAGTCACATAATTGGTATCTATTGAAGATGTTACGAAACGGTATAAGAATCCGAAAGCCAGCGATAGTGTTCGAGGAACTGAATAGATTTCCCCTGGGAATATCGAAATCTACACATAGATACGCCGGAAAGTAACTTTGGCAATCTGTCTGTATAGCTTTCATCACAAAACGACAGATGAACTGAATCTTGATTAGATTTGGTATACAGACACCTTGATCCATGATCAAGGACATAAGTGACCTAAATGCATAAATTTGTATGTTGTACATTTTCTGTTCCGTTTAGATAAAGTAGGGAAAAAACAGCATTTTAGTAGTTTTAGTAGTTTTATTTAGACATCCTCGGTGGTCTAGCGGTTTTGACACCACCCTACTTCCGATGGTCGCGGATTAGATTCGTCGGACAGTACAAATATTTGTATTCATGAATATAATTGTTTGTATTGGTCTTGGTGTTTCCTATGTATATTATAAATGTATTTGTATCAGTTGTTAGTACGCATACCAAAAGCTCCGTTTAGCTTGATACTAGATGACGCTGTATAAATTGTCTTCGGTTATTGTTATTATTATCTATTAGTATACAGCAGTGAAGATAAATAAATTACCTCAGCATCACTATTTCTAGCTGTTCTCACTACAGTATGCGGCGATACTTTCGTGGACACCAAAGACGCTGGGGCGTCAGTTGGCAGGAATTTCTTCGTCTTGCGTCTGTAATATATAGTAAAAAATAAATAAACGAAAAAAAAATGTAAAAATCAGTATCTAATCATTGAGAAGAAAATGTTTCTAAAGAGCTGATCACCAAACAAAAATTGGAGAAATTATGTGAAAGATTACGCAATTAGTTTTATTTTTATTTTTATTCCATTTACTAATAAACCACTCTAGTATATTACAATATATAGTATATTAACAGTATTGCTTTAAAATAAATAATTAGCTTCTTTGTCGCTTTTTAAATATTAAGCTAAATATACTCGTAAGCTATTAATTTAATATGGTGTGTAATTTTGTTCACAGAAAGTCCAACAACATTTTAGCAAAACGTTAATAGTTAACAAAGATATAGTATAATAGTAGACAAAGGTATAATAGCCGAACGCAATACACATAAACAGGGATTTTTTCAAAATATTATATTTTCAATAATAATTCAATATTGCAAGTACAACTTTTAAATACATATATACTTCCTTTTCTAAATCTTTCGACAACAACTAAATATTATTCATAAATAATGAAATTAACAATCTTATATATAAGTTTTTAATTGTTCTTAACCAGAGGGTAAGAAAACAAATAATGTTAAAGTGTGAAAATATTACACTTAGTAATGTCATTAACTAAGGCAACTCGGTGTTCTTCGTCGCAAACTTTGACGTTCATTTAAAACAAAGTTATAATTACATTTACCTACTTGCTTGTTAAAACAAGGTAAAACTTGTTACGGAAATACATATTATTTATGTTGTTAATGTTTGTTTTTTTCTATTATTAGTATGTACTATTGGTTGTAGTCCTTTACACCTTTATGGAACGGAATCGGAGACATGGCACATACACAGAGTTATTTCTGAAGTGCCTGATTGTCAACTACTGCTTGACGTACACTATTTTAGACAAAGTACTTCGCGAGTATGGAGATGCCTACGTCATAGTAGCTTTATCCATGCAAAGTCTCAGCCCAATCGGTTTAAAATTGACAAAGTTTCATACAAACTTTCATCCCCTATTTTATCCCCTTGGGGGTAGAATTAATCAAAATCCTTCCTAAGCGGATGCCTACATTATTACATCTACCTGCATGCCAAATTTCAGCCTGATCCGTCCAGTGATTTGGACTGTGCGTTGATAGATCACTATGTCAGTCACCTTTGAGTAATATATATAAATATATATAGATTATGTGAGCGGTGTGCTCTCATGCCCGCAATGTGTGAGGATTTTTAAACACAAAATAGGATACATAAGTCACATGCGAACCCATCAATGGCAAAACCGGAGTTGAAGACAGTCGTCGTGACCGAAATCGGTCGGGATTAGATCATCATCATTTGCGATGCGTTGTCTTAAGCTGATCATATATATAACGAACATAAAACATATATTGTGTAAAAGAAGTATTTGTTAAATGGTCCTAATCTCTTATAATTTATATTGTTTTTAATTTGATTACGACTCTTGAATATTCCAATCTAGAGTTCTTTTTAATTTTGGTATTCAAAAACAGTCTCCGTCCAGTCAGGACCTAAATAAAATTATTTCAGAACACTTTAAGGAATTAACTTTATTCCTTACCGACACATTTAAAATAAGAAGAATTAAATTAAAATCTTTAAAATGATGTCTGATTACTACATTCTTACATCTATTGAAAACAGCGTATATTCGAAGACCCAAAATAACACCAGTTACCGAGAATTTGTAAGTAAGATAGGCTTATCTTGTCATGTGCAGGAATAAAAGTTTTTAAAGGTTCAAGGAATATACGTTTTTAAATACACTAAATATGTATAAGGATATGGAACACAAACCAACTTCTAATAACCAAAATATGGGTAAAATACTGCAGACATATGCAGTACATCTCTCGTAACAATGTTATCCTTAAATAACAGTTTAAGGAATCTTAATACAGTTATATAAAAATCAGAACGACAGTAAACGGAGGAAGTGGTGTATTTTATTCCATTATTCATATAATTAAATACCTTTAAAATCGGTATATCCATATTATCCATAATAATATTGTGCAAAAAATTATCTGTCCGTCTGGTTGAATGACTCTTAATAAAATGTGAATTAAAGATAAATTATATGGACGAACATCGGCTATCTTTTATCTCTGAAGTTGGTCATGAAAACCCCACAAATATGGTGTGCGACTTTTATAAACGCAAGTCGTTTATAAATCGTTGGAAATATATCTAATTGATCCACTAAAAGTCTGGAAATTTTAACAATTCTGTTTTTATATAAAACATGTATCATGTTTTATTTACTGAGGTCTTTATATTCATATATAAACATTTTATTTTCAGTATAAAGGGATTTATATCTATGGCAACCAATTCAATTGAGATCCTCCTATACTATAGGATAAAGGAACACGACATTCCGGTACAAGAATTTAATAAAGCGGAAGCAAGCGTTCTGAATGTAATTAAATAAAATTAATAATATACAATGAATTTTATATTATCCACAGTCGCTTGCTCGTATATAGTTGCCGTATTTGTCATAATGTAAAACCCATAAAGAAGAGCCTTTAGTTTTATTATATCCGAGTAATGATTATGATTACACTGAGCTCTTGTCGCCTATTTTATTTTAATTCGAAACATAAAATTACCTTACTATTAATCTACAAAGAATCATTACAATTTGTCAGACATACTTAATTGATTGGTGAAAAAATTAGACAAAGATGGTAATGATAAATTTTTTTGATGTAGACAAGTTGACACCACATAAATTTGCTAAACCGTAGATACATATTTTGAATGCCTGTTGTTAACATATTGCGTCAATTTTTTCTTGATATTTTGTACTCGCACGTTTAATCCAATATAGAAATAAGTCCATAATTAAAAATTTGGGAAAATCCACTATATTTTAACCTTAAACAAGCATTAATAATCATCAAGTTAATATTACAACATCTATCTGTTATTTCGAGGCTTACAGTATAATTAAACCTTTGTCTTATTTATTTTTGACACCTATATAGCCTGCTAACTTGCTTGCAAGCTGTGGTAAGAATGGCAATATGAAATATGCCAGTGAAATGACAAAGTCGTCTATTGTCAGGAATGACAATTCATGAAGTTCCTTACTAAATGTTAGGTGTTGTTTATGGTACTGTACATATACATAGGTGATATACATGTAGACAAAAATGGTCAATTTCTATCAAGTGTACTGTCGGTTAGTTATTTCACCTACATAATAAAATAGGTAGGTACGTAAAAGTGATCCACGCAATCAAAGCTGTGAATGGATCCTAGTCTAGTAATATAATAACATTGATCTTGTAACAACGCGTGGGCGTATATATTAGTTGCTTCTTTTACATTAAACACAAAAGAGTCTCTCCTGTGTGAACTACTAGACAACATTTTCTTTTATGTTCCATGTGATTTATTATTACGTTTAGACAGGGCTTTTATTTTACCTACTAAAAGGCTTTTAGTACTGCACACCTACGAGGCTACTAGTTATTACGTAGAAAGTGAAAAGCTGACAGAACAGATGTTATATACCTAATTAATTAGTTACCTATTTTAATATTATATATTACTTCATACATACGAAAATGTAATTATCACATGAAGAAAATACACCCATTTAAAATAATTGTACACGTTATATAAAAACATGTATATGTACAGTGAGTATAATATAAGCTCGCGATATTTCGACTTTATTGTAAACATTACGAAGGTATAAATAAAGTAATTATAGGAAATATTGCATTTATAATTATGAGACGCGCATTTTCGTCTCTATAATTTCCCTGATATTGCATTTCATCATCGTTCCTATTTTATATAGCCTTGCTCGATAAAGGGGCTACCCGAAACTAAAATAATTTTAAAAATTGGATTTACCTGAACATTCAACCCAACTTTACTTAGATATAAAATTATACCAAAAGTTTAAAATTTAATCACTCTTATTTATTGTTCATTCTAGATGTGCGAATCGATATCGCAATTTAGTAGTATTTATTTTTATACCCACATTCCCAAGATCATCTAGTACTAAAGCTAGATCAACTTCAACTTCTCTGAGCTTTCTAATGCCTCCCTAAAAGTCTTGAGCGCCCACAAGGGGGTGTTCCTGCCTATGTATTGAACACACACTGTATGGATGAAAGTTCTAGGGACACAAGTCCATAGCACGAATATAATTTCAAGTAAGTTTGTAACTAGTTTTAAACTTGTCTATTGGACATGTGCCAGGCTATATGAAGTTCTTCGTACTGAATAATCTGAAGTACAGTTTTGGAAACTCTTAATGTAATAAAGAGTGTATAGGAGAGTTGTTACATGTCAAAGTCATAGTTAATATATAACACTTTGGCCACTTATGTGTCATAATTTTTTTGTCACTATACCTAGCAACTTCAGTTGATGCGATAATGATGAGATGAATTGGCTAGAAACTCAAGTGGTATAAGTAATTTAATTATATGGAACTTTATGACACTTTCGGCCACTTATGCATGTCACATCATAATTTATATATTGTATATTAGTTACATAATATTAATTCATATGTATGTTAGTCTATAAGGTATTTATAATATGGACCTAGTTGCCTGAAATAGATAAAAATAATTTTATCACTATATGTTTGTTTGACTAGCTAGTTCAGTTGAAAAAAACTGGCAAGAATCTCAAGTGGTATAATTATGTAAGTAATTTTTTTTTAATTAATTATTAAAAAGTAATACATATGTCAAATAGTTAGTGTATGTTAGTTAGTAACACTAACTAACATATTTTATATATCGAATAATACTATGCCCGGAAGAATATACATACACGGTCGTCTCCCAAATAATTCTTTACAGTGTAATAGGCTTTACTCAATAAGTATTTCTTAATGTCACTTGTGTACTTTAGGAATTATTTTTATTTTAGTTCTTTTTATTTATAAGGAAAAGCAAAGTGACTCGTATACTCGTAACTTTCTACGGATATCATTATAAAGATGATAGTTATTTAGTTCCCATGTTCATAAAGATTATAAATTCCCTAATATGTAATTATACCAATAAATTCAATTGCGATTAAAAAATGAAATGTAGTACTCAATTTGTTCAATCTTTAAATTAAATCTTGTACGTTTAGGTAGTTATTTATTTTTTAAAGAAAACAACACAAGTCAGACAATACTAGAACAAATCTACAAAATAAACCATGATTATGTAACAGACGCTCTTATCATTTGCCATATCCACCAGACGAGCAGGAGTAGAATAATTGTATCAATGGAATTCTAGACTGAAATTCGAGATCTAAATGTTTCAAAATGAGTTCATATTTATATACGGCATACAGAACAGTTTGGTCAGCTATAGTAGTTTCATTTACATAGTTATTCTGATATCTAATGGGTCATTATATTAATATATATAAATCAGCTTTACGCAATAGACAATTATTGCCAAATAAGTCAAACAATTGAAACTCGGATCGTTTGATATACGAGTAATTAGCGGGTTCATTCAGCATAAAAGTAAAATGTTGCATTAGCAATAATATACCGAACAATATCCTAAAGAGAACAGCTAGTTTATGTAGAAGTTCAATATTTTTATTCATACCTACTCTTTCTGTAATATTATTTAGCGAGAACTCTTTATTTCTGATTTCAGAGAAATCCTTTGAAATGAATGGTGAAAGAACCGAGCGTAAATGTAATATTTCAACAGATTGTTTTATACGTGACTTTCTCAAAGAAGCCTGAGAACTTATACCTGGCAAGAATAAAAATATAAATACGTATACTATACACTATACGATGAAAGTGTTAGGAATCTGCAAATTGAAGGAGCGTTCCACTCGGCTGGATCTACGGGTAAGGCATTGTTGAGCTTACTGTTGTAGTTCGCAAACGTACTAGTTCGATAGAGCGCTCCCAAATACATACAAGTTCTCAGATCTTTCGCTTTTTACCTTGTTTTATAAAACGTTCGTTGTTCTTTTTTTTAGAAATCGACTACCACAAAAGGCTTTTCTGTTATAATATATAATGTACTTACCTTCCTCTTAAGTCACTGTATGTATTGATGAAAACTGTATTAAAATCCTTTGAGTAGTTTATTTTTTTTTTGTTTCCAAGACCTAAGTGAACAGATAGCGTAAGCGACTCCATTTTATACTATGTAAAGATACTAAATTGAGCGATCTGTCCCGAACTATTATGTGCAAAACTAGCAGGTATATTATATGGTATTATGTAAATATTGATCTAATGAAATACGAGATCCATTTGCGGTCACATATCTTGTGCGTACTTCGCAATGTTTTCACACTTGTTCTATTACTGCAAAGTCATTAAAAATGGCTAATGGTAAATGGCAAATCGCCGGAGCCAGCAGATGAGTACAAAAATTAAACAGTCTGATATTATGTAGTTATTCTATAGAACGTAATAGCATTTGCATTTATCATGTGAATAACTCCAATATGGTTGTTTAAATTAGAACAGTGAATGAGAATATTCAACAGATCTCTGTGTTCTACGGATATCATAAAACTGTAAAAAATTACTATTCGATTACACAAAACTTATGCAATAAACCTTAGAACTCTTTGTTCTAAAAGTTCAAGTATTCAAAGGTACGTTGACTTTTGAAAAGTTAAAATAACCAATATATACCAAAGCAAGCACTAAAAAAATTATATCTAAAATACTTATATAGAGAGCTATCGAATAGTATAAATTCAGTTATATAACAAGATTATTAGGATGATTTTGTGAATACGACGTGAATAAGATGTTCTGAAAAGGGACGTTTAGGGGAATTCTTAAGTGCCGAATAGGTAAGTGATGTATAGAGGACGTAATGAGTGGACCTTTTTGGGAGTAATTAGGCAACCCGTTGAGGACCCTTGCGTCAGAAGTACATCGACTACATTAAAGATATTTTGAGACGCCAAATTCCGACTACTGTGGTCAGCAATCCGTTCAGTAGGATTATGACTGCTTATTCAATATTTTAACATAAAATACCTATATTGATATATGGATATACTCGTCAATCTAAAGGGTATCTTTGTATCTTTGACATTAATCTCCAAAGCTATCAACTAATAAACAAAATATAATCTTCAGAAGTGAAAAAAAAGAAGTAATGTAATAAGGGAGGCGATGTGATCCGATGCGATTCATTGTTGACCGAAACCGATCGCCATTACCTTTGTATTAGACTTCAGGTGAAACTGTAGGATACAACAACTACATTATGTATTTGGTTATTGATGTCACCCGAAAATATTCTTTTAACCTCTTTTTATTTCACAATTTGACGATGTTTTCGGGGTCGAAATTAATGCGCGGTATATAAATTTCAAGATGATACCTGTCGTCTGTCTTGGACATAATTCTTGGGGCGGTCAACTTGTCGATAGTCTCGGAGGTAGCGTCTGGGAACACATGTCGTTTATCCCGCACAGCCTCCGTGTGTTCAGTCGTTGTCGGCGGTGATGGCGGGAAAGCTAAAAATAATAATCATTATATTAATACGTGAAGGGCAAACTTTGTACCCCTTTTTACTAAAATTGAGCGGACGAGTATGAAATTTCCCACATTTATAATATAATTTATAAAGAGATGGTGTACAGAATGCTATTTTTTCTTTATTATGCATATGAAATACGTTACATTAATAAAAACAAAAACAATGCTCATACTACTACATATGTATTTGACACATAGATGCATATGTCAAAATGAGAATATAGGGCGACCACTAGTATAAAATAAAATTCATATTATTTTATACTATTGAAACTACTATACATTGAAATTAATAGCATTTCATAGACTCGCCTTGTGGATACCGCTGAATCGATCGCGAAACTGAGCAGATTCCAAGACTTATACATGGGTATAGGTTTAAGGGACCATTCTCAATACATTAGCACTGACCTTCACTATTTATGCTCTCAGTATCCAACAATTTTCTATAAACCTGCTAATGTAGTTTTAAATTCTTGTTTTAGTATATTATAGTATGCCCGTTTTGTGCATGCCAAGGTCTTTCAATAGATTACAGAGAGATTTTGAGGGAGTTCTTACTCCTACCACTACAACCTATTAATTGCATAACCTAATACCATTTATTTTAAATATTTGTAACAAAGAGTATAAGCGGAAAACATCCAAAAAAGGAAATATTTTTGCAATACGATAATGGTGGCAGAACGTGGATTCGATCGATAGGCTAAATGTTATGGTACCAAAAGTGATACAATTACTGTAATAAAAAAATTAATCTCGTACTTGAACTTTAGGACTAGGCATTGGTTTAAAATAAAGTAATATTTTACCTATATCAGGGTTTTCTGGATTTTCATTGAGGAGTCGCTTGATCTGCCGAATGTTCGACATGACATCTTCTTTCCTGAACCGCACGGAATCTGTGAAGTCTTCGGGCCTCAGTTTTATCATATTTGTAACACCCACCTATAAGTAAACATTAACAACTATATATATATTTTTATAAAATTACTGAAAATGTTAACAGTTTAGCATAAACAAATGTTATCTTATACCTAAAATTGTTAGTTACGATACCTACTCCTCCGAAACGGCTTTATCCATTTCTATGAAATTTTATATGCATATTCAGTAGTCTGCTACTATCTATTTTTCATACCCCTAAGTGATAAGGTTTGCCTCCCCTAACATTTTTTTTTTTTATGTATTTTTTTTAGAATGAAATAAATTATATAATTAAAAAATGCAGGCAACCAATTTCACCATTCTGTCAACAACCCCTTTTTTTAATAGCTATTTTAATCTATATGGCAAAACAACGTTTGCGGGGTCAGCTAGTAACTTTAATCCTTTGTTTCCATATATACTATACATAATACACAATTTCTCTCAGTTATTCTAATGCTGACGGGTAGAAATCCCTCTGAAGGAATAAAACCGCCATTGTAGTAATTATTTCTTAATGTCATTGTTTCGTTTTATACTACTAGTTACTCGCACCAGCTTCGCACGCCTCTTGAATCACTATCTCTTAAAAAACCGCTTCAAAATCCGTTGCGTAGTTTTAAAAATTTAAGCATACATAGGGACAGATAGCAACAACAGTAATTTTATTTTATACTATGTAATGATTTTAATGTACAATAAAGTATTACAAAAGAACAATCCAGCCGTAAGTGTAGATACGTAACTAAAACCAATATCGTTTATATCCAGACCATATCGATCGCAAACCCTACGATGTAATTTAAATTGCTAAAGAAGCCTTATCCAGTAATTCCCTCATAAGCTTTTACATTCTATTGCCACCCGTTATTGCCACGGGTAAGTACAGTCAGTCACGTTTAATAATAGGAATAACTATTTATTAGTTATTCCTGCTATTTATTTATTAACTAGCGACCCAACTCAGCTTCGCATTGGTCGCCTAATCTAAATTTTAATAATACGAAATCAACAAATTGTTGATGTTTGATGTTTCTTACTCTTTCACGCAAAAACTATTTAACCGAATTTGATGAAATTTTACAGTAATGTAGCTTATGCATCAAAATAACATATAGGCTTTATTTTTTATTGAAATTTAACGCGGTGAGCACAGCTAGTGTGTTATATATGAATGATGTCGTATAACTGAATATAAAATGTATTATACGCAAAGAGCTTTCAGAGAAAATTTATTAAAATATATTAATTATAGGTTCTGTATTGTAGGTTCTGTATTAAATATTTATCACAAAATTAATTAATACCCCTTTAGTAGCGTATTTATAACCATATTTAAAAAAATAAACTGTGAAAATTACTTCGTTATTTCCTGTAGTCTTATTTTTGAGTTAAAATATATTATATAATAGTTAGGTAGATATGGACATATAGTCTTTTTGTAAATTAAAATAGACAAAAATACAGTTTATACCTTGTTACAATTCTACCACTTTATTATATGTGAAGATTATAAAAAAATCTTATAATTATAATATTCGATCGCCCTTAGTGATTTTTGTATTTGTTTTGTTTACGTGTATGACTATTCCACGGGACTGTACAATACTGTACATCGTATAACATTAAGTTGGTTGGGTAATGCCGACTTAAAACGTTACCTATCACATCAAAATAATATATATATATATCCTGGCAGGGTCGCCATATAAGGGCGGTGCTTGTTAGGTAAATGATAGGTACGACATTTGAGTATATATATACTCTATGGTTTATTACTATAATCAATGTTTATATACCTACTACTTAATACATACATCCTTACAAAAATGACAAAAGATCTAAAATAGCAACTTTGGATATAACAAAATAGGATGCTAAAGCAATCGATAGCAATTTAATTGAAATATTTCTATTTGAGCAAATACATACACATAAATAAATACAGAGTATGTACATGGAACGAAACTATTTCATACATTCATATATTCTTTCTATTTATCATCATCTTTCCTATGCAAATTATATATCTTATATATAAAATTCTCGTGTCACAATGTTAGTTACCGTACTCCATCCAAACGGTTTGATTGATTTTTATAAAATGTTATATGCATATTCTGTAGGTCTGAGAATCGGCTACTATCTATTTTTCATACCCCTAAGTGGTAATGGATATCCAAATATATATTTTTTATTTTTTCGACATAATATTTTATAATAGTTTCATTTTATAATTATTTAGGATTGAAAAATACATACAACCCTAAATTTTCACCCTTCTATCATCAAACCCTTTTTTTATAGCCTTATTACTTAATATTGCAAAAAACCTTTGGGGGGTCAGCTAGTTATGACATAAAATTTAGCTTATGTTCATACTTGTGATAATCTCTCTTTAAGTCAGTTCATAAGATTGCTCCACTCGTTTAGTTGTCTGAACTTAACAAACAGCATATGTATTAGTATAGTAGAATAGATTAATAAATACTAAATAATGTAAAGTAATAGCACAGATAACATAATATTACATAGAAACAGGGGAGTCCACGCCCAGGGATATTTACAGATTGAATAGGCTACCATATGGCATCAAGCCTGCAAATGCAATTTTTCAGGCAAAATTGGAAAAAGTTTTGTTAGGTGTATAAGGAGTTATAAATTTTATTGATGATACTACAGTTACAGGGGCAAATAATGAGGAACATTTGCAAAATAATAGCATACAGTATATATGAAAATAAGATGTGCATCATTGTTAAATGATCTATGATAGTAAAATGGGTCTTGTAGTGTTAATTTCGAGTTATTGTCATTTTTATTTACATAATGAAAAAATAAAATCATCTCTAAAAATCTGTAAAATATACAGATATATAGTATGTTCAAGAAATCATATAATTGGCTACCCAATGTAATCATTTTATACACAAATACTTTATACATAAAATGTAAATATTTACATAAGATATGTCGTGGTATGTAGTCACATACTGCGATATATTTTCTAAATGATTGATAACTTTCCGGGTTGTATATCGTTTTTTTTTATGTATCAATAAACACAATATATCTGTGACCTATGGTATTAGTTCATTTTAATTATTACGATCTATCTAAAAGTAAATATAGTTTATTTTTATTAACTACTTGCGTTTGAATACCTACTTGGAATATTACTGAGTTACCTGTATAATTCTTATGTATCAGTGATGTTTCTTTTTTATATTATACAAAAGATTTCCTTAGATTTATAATATATAAATGGGTTATTTACTTTTAATAATATTATTTGAGAGTTTCCGATATTTCGACGCTGTTATAAACGCCATGGTCAATGATCGACCCGCGATATTGAAATCATCCCATTTATATATAACTATAAGAAGAAAAAACTGTTCATAAATATAATAATAGAACTGACATATAAATTCTTATAAATTGAAATGCATTTATCTTTTTTATGTCTTTCAAAAAGGTATGTTGTTCTGTTAAATGTAGATCCTTTACTTTTTTATAACTTTGTTAACCAAAAACCTTTCCATGGCTTAATTTAATTTTTATAATAATTATATGCGGTACAAGAAATACCGTAGGCCAAATAACCTAATTCAAACTTTCTTTGTTATTTTTCTTTTCGTTAAAAATTTTTATAAATAAAATCAGTAGCTCTGTACATATAGTTAAATAAGTTATATACTTTTTTTTTATTCCCACGCGTTCAACTCTGTGTAGATATAATATAAAACAATTTAACGATCGGATAAACATCGTTAACAACATTATCGCCATAAAGATAAACGAGTTTGTTTGTTGTTAATTAATTAATTGTTTTTCTATAACAACGACGGAATGATTCACAAGAACGTAGGAAATTGTTTATTAATTAAATTAGAGTAATAAACTCTTTTGATTACATTTTTAAATGTCATTGACAAGTAATATAAAATAATTATATTAGTCGTTATCTCAAAAAAAACAGTAAATTCATGAAATAGTTAAGGAATGTATAAAAAGAACTAAGCACAAAAAATAAATGTAGAAAATCCGATTACGGATAATCACACCTAAAATAGTAACAGTCACTCTTAGTGCAATCGGATAATATTGTAAGCGCTATGGATTTTAAGTTATTCTACAAAAACATTGTTATCGTTAACGAATTCTTCAATTTTATAGTATGCTTTTTTACAAAGGATGTGTTTTATACAACATTTAAATCTATTTTCATGCAGATTTATAACACATTATTATTATTGTCTTATAAGTGGTATGGATTAGTAAGAGGTAAGAGTTTAAGTTTTCTCACCGGTTCTCTTCGTTTGTCATAGTCGTGGTACCAGTCTCCGCTCTCTGCGTCCTCGTCCTCGTCGTAGTCCTCGTCATCCGGCATACTGTCGTCCTCCAGCTCGGTCAGATCGTGAAGCTTCCCTAGATATTCGTCTTTCTGCTTCTCCTTGACATCTTTTGTACTGACGGAGTCCAAATCGTCGGCGTATATCTGAAAGGAAATGTTTATAGAGTTGATTATACAGATAATATTAGCAGTATTAACGTCACAATGTATTTATGAGCATTTATTATTATATACTAGCTGACCCGCGCAACTTCGTTTGACTAGTTACTTTACACAATACTATAATAATAATATACTATAATAACAAAATATTGAATTTTAATTTTAAGGACAAATATTTTTTTTATAACTTAATTATTGTTGACTAGTTACTCTCTACACTTTAAATACTATAATAATTTTTTTTTTATAACTTAATTATTGTTGTTTTCTTCATTCATTATTTTTCCATTTACCCTGTGTATTCCTAACTCCTTCTCTCAATCCGAGAAAGCTCTTTAAATACTGGTGTGATTTAAATTAATTTAGTAAATTTAAAGTTAATAGTTTAACCTTTTTAAATGGTACTATATTTATTATTCTTAACTAGTTATTAAGTACTCAAGATCGCGCGAAATCAAATCTGTAAAGTTTTATAAGTGATTCCATACTTATTTATAATAAGCTCTCATTTATAATATTAGTAAGATATTGATTTTCATTGAACAAATTTTATAAAATTTACGTTTGTAAAGTTTTATATAAAATTACGTTGTAGTTTTTAAGAAGTTCTAATTACTTTAAATCAGCTATGAATGGATGCTTATTACTATAATAAGCATCCATCCATATATACTCACAAACTTTCTCATTTATAATATTAGTAAGATATTGATTTTCATTGAACAATAGTTTTTACCCATTTAAACAAGATATGTTATACTTAGAAAGTACACGTTTGCAATTAATTATTGTGTATTTACAGGTTTTGATAAATTATTACGTTGTATTCGAATGTCTTAAGAAGTTCTAATTACTTTAAATCAGCAAATGTTTTACTTGTTTCGCGTTAATTGGAAAACTTTGCTTTGCTTCCAGTTTCACGGAGAATATAATTATGTATTTAAGTAGCTGTCGCTTCAAATTGATAATTTGATACAAACGGATCGATAAGTACTTGGGCTCGGCCGAGACAATTTCATTTAAGAAATGCTAACAATTTCCATAATTATATTTTGGCATTATTCCATTTGACTTACTTCATATTTTAACTACTGTATTATTAAATCTAATTACTACTATTATGTAATATTATATTATCTGTGCTACTATGGACATAGATTATTGAAATATGGAAATCATATTAAAATAATTATTTACTTAAGGAATGACATAACTTTTAAAATATTTCTCCCTATATTTGAATAAAACTACACATTTAGAAGCTAGAAGTAAAACTCCTTGAGAGAGGTATCAAAAAAATTATTGAAAACGAAAATACGTTTCTTTCTGCCTACCTCGTATAATAATCTTTACTTAAAAACACTTAATATAAGCACTTTTAAATAGTCATTTTTTTTTATTCTATTACATATTCAGAACGCAGACTCATCACAAGAAGAATGTGCAAGAAACTTGTGTATGGCTCTTTTAAATAAATGTTGTTCAGAATTACATTTTTAAGTATTTTGTGTGAATACAAACTGCCAAGTCGCAAAGTTGACATAAATAAATAAATAGTTAATATTTGTATATGTCTAACAGTATTACACAGTAACCAAAAATGAGTTGAGTTGCACAACAAGTATCGACAAAAATAAATAATAATACTGAGTCCACGACCTAACGTTATTTATACAGCCATAAAATGTTTTAAAACAGGTAACAAAAACATAAAATCAACCTCGTTCTGAATTGCGATCAAACGAAACGCGACGATAACACATTTATTTTTAAATCAAAGCTAATACGTAGCTTTCAAACTGGCCACTAGGAGCAATATTACTCACCGTCCTTTCTGTTACACCAATTACACATCGCATTAGTGTGAGTGAAATGAAACAATAATTAATTAGCTACATTACCGGCTTGTTTAGATATGGAATATTCTTTATGTTTCATGATTCAAAGGCCCCCGTAATGGCTCGAGTTGAGTGACTATGTCGAATGTTTATTTTGCTTTCAAAGTCCCTGCTGACAAGACAGCCCTGTGCTTCAGATACAGTTTCGTTGGCACTTATAACGAAGAGTAAATAAATATTTAGATATAAGAACTTGTATATACTTTGTAACAAGATCGTGATGATACGGGGTGAAAAAACATAGGAATTTTAGAAGCAGTGGCAATAAATTTTACTATTTTTATATACTTATTTTCAATGCACACAATGCAAAAGGTAGTACATTTGGCGGAAATAACACAATGCGGTTATTTTACAGGTCATTTTTATGTAAGAAAATGGTATAATATCTTTTAGAACGGAGTAGAGTTAGATTAGAATGTCCGGAATTTATATGGTAAAGATACGATTTTTAAATATAATATAGAGCAAATAAAATTACGTCCTTTTTAAGAATAATGAATAAAATTAATAAAATTCTACATAAATCCGGTGCCAATAGTTAAATCTTCCTTGAAGAATGCACGTCATAATAAATCACAAGCAACCGCACACGCTGACACTGACGCAGAAGGGATTTCCACTATAGACGTGACAGTCTTGAAATATGAGAGGGATGAGATAATAATTGCTACCCACGCAATTAGTAGAATAGAGGTACCTCACATTAAAATATCAAATTAATTATATATTTTCTTCTTATACAATGATAAAAAATTAAACTTCATATTTTAATAGTAAACTTAACTGTATATGATTCTTGTGGTAAAACCAAACTTCCAATACCAATGTATTTCACATTTTATTAAAAATGGTTCATCCTTAAAAAAATGTAATGACATAGGTACCATCCTTATTTTACTTTTATTAGACTAGCTTTCTAAGTATAACATATCTTGTTTAAATGGGTAAAAACTATTGTTCAATGAAAATCAATATCTTACTATATATACATGTAATAGATAGTTCATTGTTTTTTATGTTTTTTTTTATTCTTCATTCACATGAAAAACAAATATATAATAAGGTGGTAGGTAACATAAAATATTCCAGGTCTTTCCGATTAAACTTGAATATTTCGTAAAAAAAATGCCTAAAGTGGTTCGATTTTGACAATTTTCTAATTGATATGAAGAAGTCCGTGGTCTATCTGGATACTTACATGTCAAAAACGGTAATACATATGGACGGTATCGGTACGATCATTGAACCAGACTAACAAAAAATCTACAAAGGCCTAAAGAATTTTAAAATATGAGGAGAAACGACCTGACGTTACTGACATACGACTGAATGTACCATTTTGTTTTATTCCTATCGGACTCAGTCTGAAAGAACAAAACGAATCTAGATTTATGTCCACAATCAATTTGCCGTCTAAATTGTATTTGACAGCCGGCGCACGGGCAGAATTACTGTGGAATGGCGCGTAACTATTTTAGTATCTACTACACACTTGTCCTTTATGCAAGAACGTTATGTAACAAACATTATGTTAATATGCGAAGTAGGTATAGTTGATGAATATTGACTGTAATTACTATGGTGTATCGCACATTTACTACATACAACCTGTGATACAATAAATATTCAATAGAGTCGTCTTTATCTTGTTCGTCTGACGTATTCAATGGCAAATGATTATTTTTCTATTTTATACATATATACATATTGAACATAATAAAGACGTTTCTGGAACATTTTCTGCATTAATATGTAAGTATAATAAAAATTGAAAGTAGTACATTACTGTAAAAATATAGTAGATACATTATTAGATAGCATGTAATACCATCATGATAAGTTCTCAAAAATTTACTGATTTCATAGGAGCCGTAAAGATTTTTTATGTCTCACCGCCATTTTGACGAATCCGCACTTATGTAGCGACTGAAGGCCTTGATAGTTACGACTTTAGTTTAAAGGTACTAAGGGTTTGAACCTCTGCTTAAGCCGTCGTAAATGCGTTCGTCGTAATCTCCGTTTGAATAGGAAAGAGAGTATTTGGTCATATCATATCAATAGTAGAAATGTGGAATAAGCCTTCTACTACTTTTGTATAAACATCGAGAAAAACTGAATAAAACAAAAACGACAGAATGAACGATCATGGAATCTTCTCGAGGTACAACAACTTCTAATTTATACCTAAATCACTGTTGTTTTTCATTTCATCAATGAATTTGATCAGAAATTTCAAAAGTATATATATTCCTACTTGACTAATTTCCTATGAATTACAGTATCAATTGAACATTAATGAAAATACGTAAACGCCGTTGTAGCAGTTATACCGCCACAAACATTGGCAAAACAAATTCAAGCCGAGATTCTGAGAAAATAATGTGTTCGTTCATTGAATATTGACATTGAAGTACCAAATTTATATTATTTACTGATAATATAAATATTACACGTTTATTTTGTGCTCGCCATTTTGTTTTTTCAGAACACGTCGAGTTCAACGCACTGAATATAAGCAAGACATAAAACGTTTGATCTATATGTATCTTCAGTCCATAAACAACTTAATAAGTACCTATAGGTATATTAGGCAGTCAAAACTCTCAATCAGTCTGAAGTATTTTTCAATCGACTGCAAAAAGAAAGACATTTTCAATTTGACAACATCAATTTTGATTGACAATATCGATTCAAATTTAAATGTGTGTAATTTTATGTATTCTATTTGTCACGTTGTTTGTCTTAAATCTGAAATGGATCTTAGTTTCTTTTGAAATGAAAAACATTTGATTTACTCCTAATAAATCTACTATATATTTTAAAAGATAACATGATTTTGTGAATTGATTGTTTTTGTAGACAAAAATAATACTCGAATCACCTTAAAAGAATTCTAATCTAACTCAAAGGTCTCAAATATTTTTCTTTCAAAAATAGTTTATTCAAATTTAGAACCTGATGAGTTTTAATACTACTGCAGACAGTACCGGAAAATACATTAATACTTTTCTTTTAAAATAAATAAATATTATATTTATTAGTAACACGTTTCATATTTATATGAAATCATAACATTGGTGG